TTAAGACAATATCGAGGCAATCCGTACAGGATGAACATATGCCAATAAAAGACTGATCAATTGCAGTCCCAAAATACCAATGGGAAGAATCAAACAAACTATACGAGAGGTACTTCCTGGAGTTCTACTGACGAGCAGTGACCAATGGATTTCAATCACGTCTGTTGTGAGATAGGAACTCACTGAAGACAACTGGTGAACGGTTGCTCATTTACGTGGATTGGTTGAAGTTAAACATTAACACCATCGGATGCTGGCTCAGCGGTCTAGAGGCTAAGTGCTCGTGTGCGAGACTGATAAGTCTTGGGTTCAAATCTCGCGAGGTGGGATCGTGGATGCGCACTACTGAGGAGTCCCAAAATAATGCGAAACGGCCGTCCAGTGCTTCCAGGTTTTCCATGGTGGTCTAGCATCATTTGATTCGTGATATCAACTATCAAAATTACTATAATATCCACAAATCCCCTTCTGATAATATACAAAATGAATGAACTATTATTTTTATCTGATAAAGTTTTTTTTTAAACATTAGGTTGAAGTCTGAAACTATGTTTTAAGAAACTTTAAAAACTCTATTTTTCAATCTTATAAAATTAAACTCTACCTTTTAACAAACATAATTCAATTGTAAAACGTTTTTTATTTACTAAATGACTAGACTAAAACCTGATGAATTTAATAATAAAAAAGGGCAAAGCCAAACAGTCAATTAATGATTTTATATTATTTTTTTTTAAAAATAAATAAAAATGAAACTTAAATAAGAATAATATATTTGTAAAATCTCAGCGAATGAATTTTTAAATTAAATCCAACGTTTCGCCTGGCAAACTGGTCCAAGCTTTTTCAAGGAATTATAATCAAACATCAAAATTATCGAATATAAATAGGTACATGGTTCTCCGAGTTCATTATACACTGAACAGGTCATCCAATCAACGTTAACAATAGTCTAAACTAGGTACATTTAAGAGATATGTGATGTGAAGTGATGAGTGTTCATATAATATATTGTATAGAAAACGTAAGAGATGAGAGGATAAAAATTACATTCACATTCATATATTGTCTCTTATCAGTGAATTTATAAGGAAACATACAATTTGTAAATTCAACTTAGTATTGTTTGTTTGAATCTTCCCATCGATTTGTTAGGACTGCAACTGGTCAGTCTCTAATTGGCATATGTGCATACTGTGCGTATTGCCTCGATATACCTTAATTCACAAGCATGGTTAGCAGAGATGGATAGTGGCTAGCAGTGGAATCCAGGACGCGCGTTTGTAATATATATGATATGAATCATATCTGTCCCTGTATGTATAACATGAAGATAATTAAACAAAATAAAAATAAAAGGTGAAATTTGAAGATCGTAATTTTGACTGTATGTATGTGTCATTTTTAATGTTTGTTTAACTTATTTCGATAAGACAACAGATTAGAATCATTGAGTGTAAATTGTCATTTTAGATAATACGAATTAGATAAAAAAACATTAAGGAGTTCAGGTTGTTACTTATTAATGATTAGCTGCCAGGGTACTGCTAATTGTATCCCATCCCTCCTATTAATATTGTTTGGATTAGCCCAAATGTATAGGGCTTCAGCTGTTTGTCTCACCTTGTAAGAATTAAAAGCTTTTTGAAGGATTCTTGTGCCATCGAAATCAATTGTATGACCTGATTCTAACGAATGTAATGCTATCGCTGATTTGTTCTCCAATTTCCTTACATCATCTGAGGATTTAGGAATATGTTTCAAACGTTGTTTGTGTTCCTTCACCCTCACATTCAGTTGTCTTGATGTTTCACCTACATACGTTGCATTACAATCCCTACATTTGATTTCATAGACACAATTTTGTTGTTCTTCTTTATGTATTGGATCTTTAATTCTTACTAATTTTGATTTTAGAGTATTGTTTGTTCGAAAAAATACTCTTATATTTTGATTATTTAAGATTCTTCGAATATCTTCCGAAATTTCTTTACGATATGGGATCACTACTGTGTTAACCCATTCCTTTTTCTGTAATCTTTTTGTATTAACAATGTCGTCTTTTCTTTCATTCTTAATTATTCTTTTAATAAAATCTTTTGGATAATTGTTCTTAATTAAGGTAGATGTAATTAAATTTATTTCCGTTTTCATATCATTTGGTTCAGTGACAAGTTTTTGAGCTCTTGTAATCATATTTTTGACTACTGTTACTTTGGTTGAGTGTGGGTGTGCCGATTTAAAATCTAGAAATTTTCCTGAATTTTTCGGCTTTCGAAATATACTAATTTTTAAGCTATTATTAACTTTCCTTTCCACTAAACAGTCTAGGAAAGGTAATATGTTTTCAGGAGATTCCAACTCTTTGGTGAACTTGATTTTTCTATCAAAGTTGTTGATAAGTTTAAACAGTTCATCCAAATGGTTCCGTTTTATAATGACAAAGGTGTCATCTACATATCTTAACCATACTTTTGGTGCCTGAGAACATAATGAGATGGCACTAGTTTCCAATGAATGCATAAAGAGGTTAGCAACAATTGGAGAAACTGGTGATCCCATAGCTACACCTTCTGTCTGTCTGTATAAATTTTGTTTATATCTAATTCTTTGGAATTGTTATTAATCGTGTCGTTATTAGACATCACATTTTTAAAAATTTTTTTAAATGAAAAATTATTTATTTAAATTTTCATGTAATTAAACAAAAAAAATAAAAATGGTTGAAATTTTCCCTACTTTAAAATGAAATATCTTAATTATAGACAATTATTAAGTAGGAATAGAAAAAAAAGAAAACCCTGTTTGCTAATTTAAACTGTAGCTAATTAATTACTTTATAATATAGTGAAAATTGAGCCAAAACATCTTTCCTTTTAAGAAAGCCCCAAAGCTATATGAAGTATATGATATGAAATTAAATGGTAAGTGTTTAAGTTATAGTCAATTTTTGCCTTGTACAAATATATTTTATTTAGTGATTTTAAGTATTAAATTAAAAAGAGTCTACTGATTCTACATGTCACTTCTTATAACTCAATCCATGAATATGAAAATTTGAGGACAATAAAACTTGGCAATGCTTTTCGATAACTTCTCCAAAATATTCACATTTGATACAAATAAAAACCTACTGATGTGTGAATTAACTACTTGTAAGACCTTCATTGAAATCCTATATGTAACTATTGGATGAATGTATTAATCTCAATGGTTAATTGATTTGCTTTAACTATGTAAATTGTATAACTTATAATGTTTTACAATTATTTGAGAATATACGTTCTAGGAATATGAAGAAAAATATAATAAAGATCTTCTAACTATAAAAATTACAAATATACCTGAATGATCTGTCGTTAAAAAAAAGACAATCAAAGTAAGATTTTGACTTAATCGATGACAACTCAGCTTAAATATCAGACAAAATCTGATATATTACGCTTTCATAATTGAAGACGTAGTGTTTATTTACATATTTATTTCTAATACATAGTGTAATCAGGAGATACAAAATGTAGAAGCATAGTTACTTAGGTTAGTTTAGCTCATAAATTATTTTGATATGATGGTCAAGATTTCAATGGTTGAGATCATGGGTCAATTGAAGCTAGAACACCATGGAAAACCTGAAAGCACTAGACAGCCGTTTCGTCCTATTGTGGGACTCCTCAGTAGTGCGCATCCACGATTCCGCCTTGCGAGATTTGAACCCAGGACTTATTAGTCTCGCGCGTGAGCGCTTAAACTCGAAACCGCTGAGCCCGCATCCAACGGTGTTAATGTCTAATTTCAACTAATACAAGACTTTAATATGGTGGTCAAAATCTAATTCGATTGGTTAACATACGGCCTATTCATAATAATTCAATCATCATTTGGGCATAACACGTATTTTAACCAATAATTTTATTCTAAATATGTTCAATTTCATTATAGAAAACAATATACTCTCCCATAAACTAATTTGTCTTGTTTTTCAACATTAATTAGTTAAGGGATTTGCGAAAAAGAATTTATTTTATATGGATTATTCACACTCGCTTACATTATTTACATTTATTCAGGTGATTCGCTTCCATAAACCTTATTCACATAATCATACCACAGTTTGGGAAAGTATAACACTTTATCTTCAGTAATCAGCTAAATATTGAATAGGTAACTATTTATATTTATTGTTTTAATTAGTTAGTTGAAAGATTGCTAAATTTGAAAGGCATCATATATAATTAAAATAAAATCACTAAATTTTCCAAATTAGTTCTTTATTTAATAAATGACTTCCTAAATAAATGATTTTATTATCTGTCAAACGGTAATTTCATCATAAACCACTGTCTATTTATTCTATACAATAGACACAGTTAAACAATTGCCTGACGTTTTCACATATACACTGATTCAATTTAAAAACATAGAATTACTTGTACCACAGATTACCAGAATACTTCAGTTTCTGTTTAAATTATTCTTGTTCAATAATTAGTAATAAAATGATACAGTTGAAGAAGCTGTTATGCAACACTTCTAACTTTATCGCAAGTATATGCATGAAAATTTGATTCGAAAACCTTTCATAAAGTAACCTTGGTATAGAAACCTATATCATTGTAGAGATTCACTAAACTTACATATTAATTTGCATTTATTTAATATTTTATGTTGTCAACTGTGGATTAAGCCTTTCATATTGAGGAAATGTGAACACGAATTTTTACACAGTAACCATTGGATAACAGAAATGAAACGATCCAATATGCTTATTAACCAATCATATTTTATTTGATTATTACTAATCTCCAACGTTTAACCAATCAAATGTGACCTAGAATCCTACTAATCAAATATCACTTATATATTGTTATTTTTAAATATATGGGTAGTATATTTAAATATCGTTTTAATTTGAATAAACTTGCTACCAAAGCTATGAAATTACATTATTTTTATTCATTCTGTCATATATAAATGTATCTGAAATTATTAGTAAATCTTAAATGCACAAGACATGTTTAATAAAATTAATTATGATATTAATAAAACTGATTATTGCGGAGTATAAAGATCATATAATATATTGGGATGCTAGTAACTCAATGTAAGTTTCAATGTGAATGTTTTTCGTCTGTCCATCTTTATGAAACTTCAGCATTTATAAGTTTCTCATTCAGCAATGTCAACAACTAAGTTTCAGTGAAATGTGAAGCTTTATGCATCTTTCTGAATATCAGAAAGGGGTTTTGTGGACATTTTAGTAATTTTATATAGTTGAGATCATGAGTCAATTGAAGCTAGACCACCATGGAAAACCTGGAAGCACTGGACGGCCGTTTCGCACTATTTTGGGACTCCTCAGTAGTGCGCATCCACGATCCCACCTCGCGAGATTTGAACCCAAGACTTATCAGTCTCGCACACGAGCACTTAGCCTCTAGACCGCTGAGCCAGCATCCGATGGTGTTAATGTTTAACTTCAACCAATCCACGAAATTGAGCAACCGTCCACCTTTTTTTTCTTAATAGTCAAAATATTTAACATTATATTATTATTAATGATTAGTTGAGGACAAGTGAACAACAGTCTTAGGCTTAAAACAAATCTCCTAATGAAATGAATATACAAAAATATTACTTTTCAGTAAGAAAAGTCATTGACCGGAAGATTAGGATATTTATTCTGTAAATGACATCCTATTTTGTAAAAAAACAATCAATACAAACTACGAGTTACTTACCAAAAATCTTTTCTTGATAAACATCGATTTTAGATAGTGTATGTAATATATTATTCAAAGATTTACATTCAAATCAATCCACTAATCTAGGTTACCATTTAATATAGATTTTACATTTTAAACTCGGATTTCCCAGGAAATCTATCCAAATTTTGATGAGAATCAATCATAAATGTAATTCATCATAGGACGATAACAATACTATTTGTGATTTAGTAGTATATAAATCAAAAAATTGGTAATTCTAAAGCAAATTAATCAAGTAAAATAATATTCAGCTATATATAACTGCTTAGATAAGATTATCATTGTGTTTTTTTTTTAATTTTACAATATACATCTACATATATAACACCAAAAACTTGTTCACCCATAAGATTAGAAAAACAAGTACAATTATGTTTATTGATTTTAAGTAAAACAATAATACCATATAACATAAAGCAGTTGTTCGTGTACTAAAATCAAGTGTCATATACATATATTACTTGTAATATACCGACAATATTATAGTCATGTCAATATCAGAGTTCACCTTACCATCACAGTGCATTCTCAATGATTAACTGGTGAATACAAATGTTATTTCTGGTAATGTTGGAATGAAATCTGGAACTAAAGCATTTTCCTGCCTGATAATCGTCAGCTGGTTGTATCCGTATCCTAGTGTTGGTATTTACTCTAATACTCGAATTTGTTATCTTTGGTTTTAAGCATTAGTGCGTTATTCACTATGCTTTCGAGTCTAATTAAGGGTTGAATTTTGAAGTGACTTCTAATTCTACTTGTTAGCGTTCATGTTTTTCTCGTTATTGAAGCTAAAAATGGCAATCAATTAATCTCGATGAATATTTGTGCATCCTGAGCAAATTACCTCGACCTTTAATGAACGCTTGTGACTAATCCTCGATATCGATGAAACTTGCTTAAGCTGCATATTTGCTAACAGATACTGTTTATTTGCGGTCCTTAGAATCAACAAACGGGAAAATACAAATCCTTATTGTTTCTGACTATTTTCAGAACTGAAAATGACACATTACATTTTTAACTAAATATTGTCAAACTACTGTAAAATTGAATATGTTAGCTTCTAATTATTATAAGTAATCACCAAAGAATTGAATAAATAAAGTTGTTAGACAAATAAAACAAAATTAATTATATGACATACCATAATTATTACATGTTTTTACATTCTTGCTTAACATATTCCGCCATGTTTGGATTTTATTTACAACGAATATTCTGCTATTACCACCCAAGTTACAAGTTTTGTTGTTGGATAGTTTTTGATTGCTTTAATCAAGCGATGTTAAACACACACCTTATACAATGTTTAGAATATCATCTACATCTATAATTTAAAAACTCTCGGCTGCTTCAGCTTAATTGTTAATATTTTGATTCATTAAAGTATAATACACATAGTTTCTAGGATTCAGTTTAACAACTCGCTTCAATGTGTAGGTTATAAAAAAATTTAAGCAAAACATTTAATGAACTAGGTATAATTTTATCTAATTCAACTAGAATAAAAAATAGACATCATTAGCATAAAACAGATATCTTTTTTAGTAACAAAAAATCCTAGCAGTAACAACTTGAAAATTGAAAATTCATTACCCTGTAGTGTACATCAATTCCAAAAAATCAAACTCTAATGGAAGCTTTATTTTAATGATTATCAAGTAAGATTCAATTCCAAATATTTTAAATCTGGTACGTAATTGTGTAATATCAATATATTCTTTAGACGGTCAAAAATTATCAAGTAACCACATGTTAAATGTAGATGGTTGCAAATTTTATTCATAAAGTATAAATCAAACTAGCCTTAAATATGAGCAAGATTTATTTATTTGATTCTACAATAATTAGTTTTCATGGTGAACCTTATGATGTCAAAAATAATAAGTACTAATAATACTGAAGTTTTCCAAAACAAGGCAGTTGTTTGTGGAGATTCTTAGTAATTTTTTATATATAGTTGAAATAATGAGTCAATTGAAGCTAGACCACCATGAAAAACCTGGAAGCACTGGACGACCGTTTTGTTCTAAAATACATGACCAGTTATACGTTAACTATAAATCTGTTAATAATGCTTATATATATAACGAAAATTATATGTGTACAAACCTAAAGTAGGAATGAAAACTGAAACAATAATTTACCATACACATTTCTGTTTCTTTTAACTAAATAAAATATTTTACCAAATAAAAAGTAGTCAATTATTTTCCAGACAACAATTCTGAACAGTTGGAGACAGTCATAAATTTGATTGCATACAGAAATACTCCTATCTATAAAGACATTGAATTCCTTAGGTCCAATACTGTTAATGAAAGTATGGGAATCATAGTTCATTAAATGTTGTACACCGTGATTCGTATAAAACATAGTTGTTTGAAGTTGTGCTTAAGAAACTGGAAATGTTTGTTTCACATTTAATGAAGATTCTTATCAAAATATAAAAATAGAGTCATTCATTCTTATTATATCTAATTTTTACATTAGCCAATTTTAAAATTATAGTCAACTACTGACTTACGAACAAATGTTGTCAAAGTTTATATATTCTTAGCCTCCATAAGTATTGTAGTGCCGTGCTTCGCTGATCGTTCACCTCCATAACCGTTATAATACAAACCTTAACGGTGCATAAAATCAGAAAGCAAAAAGAAGCGGTAACTACAGTTTATTGTCAAATAACGCAAGCCAGAAAGCTAAAAACACTTAAGCAAATATCAGCGAGCGAGCTCATTCAATTACATAGGCTGTTTTTAGTCAAATTGAATAAGGGCACAGTCAAACAAAAGAAAAGCTGATAATAGGATTTGCGTGCACACATATATGGGGAGGAGGATGAGTCATCGAGTGATAATAAATCAATCAACATTTCAGCTAGAGTGTCATGTGCTCTAGTGGTCATTAGAGTATAAAGAAATATGCAAATTGTTACCATCCTAATGGCGATATCTGTTAAGTATGTTAACATAAAGGCTTAACCAAAATTAAACATAATCGAAATTGATTGTAGGATAGTTGCTATAGTATATACCATAATTTTGATTGATTTAATTAGCATTTAGTACTGGTCCATGAAAGCAACAAGACAGCCAAGATATTCATTCGCTAGAAAATCAAATTTTATTTGTATATTTATTGCAAATTGAGGAAAAGACAAGTTGTGTTTCTTTATTCTTTGTATAGTTATTATATTTATGTATATTTAAACCAATACGTTGAGATATTAGTGGATTAATTCTTCATTGTACAAAAATGTCCCCCTGGGCCCTTTGGGAAATTAAAACTTTATCTACTTTAGTTTCAAAATTTTGATTAGCCTTTATTTTGCTAATATTGATTGATGCAGTTTATCAATGTTCTATGAAACAAAAAAGAATTGTGCGTCAGAGAATAGTAAAGATGAAAAATGTTTTATAAATTTAAATGGATCAATTTGATTTGCATTTACTTTTTTTGCTGAATAATGTTGTATAAACATGACACCAATCTGTAACAGTATGAAGTACTTATATTACTAAATACTAACAATATTCAAGTACAAACATTCAGGAGTTCAACATTAGTTCACAACTATCAATATCGAGGCAATACGCACAGTATGCACATATACCAATAAGAGACTGACCAGTCGCAGTCCTATGCATCAATAGGAAGATTCAAACAAACAATACTAAGTGTATCAGCTAGTTACATATCAGCCGCTGAATAGTAAAAACAAATGTATGTTTCATGTTTATGCTTGTGATTAAAAAAAAGAACTAATACTCTTATAATACAAAGTGAGAATAGTATTTTTGAAAACATTTTAAACTGAGAAAAGCTATAATATATATATATCAGTCTTGTATAAATCAAAAGACAAATTAGATCATATCATTACGATTGTTGGTAGTAGAATATTTTAAATATTACACAAAGTTGAAAAAATAAATCTATTTTCGACAATATCAACCATACTTCTCACAATTATACCTCTATTCAGAAAACTGACTGTGTAAAGTTTTTCAACGAATACTGAATAAACCGAAAGTTAACTTGTTGATGAGAACAATGCATAACCAGCTCTTATAAAGCCTATATGCAAACACCCAATATTCAAAAGCAATGCATGTAGCAGTTCCTAATGTTTTATAATCAAATGAATTTCGAACAGTTAAATAGCCAAATGTAAATGCTGGAATTGTGCATGATAAACACATAGATTAGTCAATGACGTCACCATCATATAAAAGCCGTAGACTAATCTCATGGTTATACATTTGGCAATTTGAAAAAAAGTCTCAAATAATAATAAAGCTTAATAATCTAATAACAGTGCTTCATTTATTTTCTCGCCTATAAACTACTCATCATGAACCCCAATAATTATCTTTTAGGATACATCGGTCTCACGCTCGAAAGTTTAACTTCTAGACCGATGGGTCCTGGGTTTGATTCTCGCAATGCCGGATCGTGAATATGAGCTGCTAAGTGTCCCATACTAGGACAAAACGACTGTCCAGTGCTTCCAGATTTTCCACGATGGTCTAGCTCTAACTGACTCGTTAAATTAAATTATTAAAATATCCACAAAACCCCCTTCTGACATGAATGATTATTACATATCCTACAAGGATATTTGCTATCACTTGTGAGAGATAGAAAATGTACATATACTGGATAACAAGCATGAAGTTCAACAAAATTCTAACTTATAAGTAACATTATTTATACATCTTGTCATACAAAAACACAAACATATAAATGAAAAATAGTCTTTTCAATAAATTATCATCTTGTTCTATAGTAATGAATCCCAATAGTTGATCAAAAAGGAATACTAGATTCAAGATAAATAAATCCTTTTAGCATATAGCGAATTTTCATACCACATGTCAGTTTATTTATGGACAATATTCATCTCTACCTCCCTCAAATCCGGATATAAAGAGTCAGTCCATTTGAGTGTATGGCGTTGTAATATTTTTTCTGTTTAAGTAAACTCCATAACGGTTTATAAATATATAGAAGGTAATTGGATAATGGCTTGCTGTAATTGTTTATCAGTAACATAGATTGAGGTGAATTTTGTAATATAGTCAATTCTTCTTCGGTAAAAACGAATGATCTTAAAAATCCGTTTATTTTTTAAATATATATTTACCTTAAACTTAGTCATTCATTAGATCAATTATTTGGATTTGTAACTGTAGAACCTTGTGGTAATTTGTGAGTAACAGTTATACCTAAAGGAAAATGAGTATTCAGTAAATAATCAATTTTTTAAGAGGTCAGTGTTCTGATTGAAACGCTTTCAGTAGTATTATTTACTCGTATTCTATGTGAAGCGATAGTCCTAAGAGAGGTATAACGTGGTTTACTTCAGTTTGGTAAAGTTATTATTGTAAATGCAGAAATAGAAAACAACTCCACTCCTTTAAGAATAAAAAGACAGAGCATACATAATCCCAGTAGCAGTGATGATTTCAAAATATGATTGAATTATTATAGAGAGTCAAACTTCTAAAAACTAACACATTGTTCACTGATTAGTAGTTAAATAAGTATAGACTATATTAGAGTTAGATTACGTCATAGTAGTGGGTATTTAGGATACAATACAATTTCGTTGCTTATTTGATTATGTTTATAAGTAAGAAGTGTATGACTAAAATTCTCTAAGCAACCATATGAAAGTTGTAGCATAAAAACTGTAATACAGTACACATAAATATATATAATGAGTGAAATAAATGTTCATAAACTCTTCAGATTATAAGTTCATCTAGCATACTTTTTATTTGAATAAATATTCAACTAAAACACATGTGATCTACTACAATACGTTTATCAACATTTAAGTTATTCACATTTCCATAAACTTATCACTTATGAAGCTGATGCACTTGAAGGGTATCAACAAAAACTAAACTTACTACAAAATAATGCAACAGTGATACTGTCTTTCAACACACAGATATCTTTACACAACCAAACAATAGCTAAAACAAAATAATTAAGTTTTTCCCAACTGAGTATTTGTTACAAAAAAACGTACGTAAATAGATACTGGTTTCCTAATTAAAATATTTTTTTACTTTCACTCTTTGAGGAACATTTCAGATACTACTTTATTATTTCTTTAAATAATATTGTTTTGTTTCATATAGATTTGAAGAAAACCCTGATGAATTGTATGTCAATGAGGGAGATAATTTAATTTTTATTTGTTCAACGAATCGAACACATGTACGAAATCTTTACTGGGTAAGTCTGTTTGTTGATACTTAAGATGAATAGAAAGATATAGATTATTACTGAAAGAGTTTGGTTTCAGAACATGAGTCTTTTTGTCCTAGTAAAAAGAAGAACACTTAAAATCATACCACAATGAAAACAAACCGCAATATTAAATAATATGTAGAACACTTTATCTGCCCAACAAACTAAAGAGAAATGAAATTCATCGATGTTTCATGACTGATTATGTACTCAAAATGAAATGCGAAAAGTTTACTTAGTGGTTGTTCAATCTGACAAGGGTCTAAAGTGACTGAGCTCAATTGCTTGACCCCAAGATATCCAAACGAATGTAACTTTTGAGTGGATTTGGGAGCTACAGCCATGAACTGATTGATTCAACCACTAATCATAAATTTCTGTATTAACATCAACTTTGTACTGAACAAGAATATAGGTTATGATTAGGTGTATAAGATATTAAATCTATTTATCATACGAACATCTTCAGTGTCTCACTAACCCATATATCCAAACAACTGTTTTGTTTTATTTATCTGAACAATTTCATAAAATCACTTCTCCAAGGAAATTACTTTGAGGATTTCTGTAAGCAGTTGTAAACACCATATTGCTTATTGGTATAATGTTTATACGTAAAAGTCCCCAGTGTTATAACAGCTTAATTAATTTGATAAATATCGAAATATTCGAAGACATCGAGCTTGAAAAATCTTAGACGAACGGATTTCAGAAAATAGATAAAACATTTCAAGTGAATCTATGTATGAACTTTGTTAAGAGATTTCAACAAGCGAATATAAATGAAAATCATCTAGCTAAATCCACGTAATCATGTTTTTACTAAATAGTGACAAATAAATAATGGAAATGGGTGCATATTTCCTACCCAAGCCTAGTCAAATTCAATCCTTAATATCAGTAAGAGAAGAATTCAAATCTTTATTAATAGTACTTTAAAGTGTAAATGGACGTTTGTATGATGATGAGTTTTTTAAACCAAAAAGGGCTTAGTGCTTCTTTTAACAGTTATAAACTAACTATAAACTTATACGAATATTCGTCAAGATTAGAACGAATAGTTTGACTATAAACTACCTGTAACAAATGTTATGGTAAACTACTTCCTACATAAAAATCAAGTAAAATTTTTGTAGTAAACTTACTGGGGAATTCCACTTTTCTTAACTATTTTGTATTAAGTCTAACCACATGTGAATTACATGATACAGTAAAATAGTACAAATCACACAAATATTATATTTGAATATAATGTTAGAATGGATTAATTTTAAGCTTCAAAAAAAGTGTACTTTCACTCCAAAATGATTTGAAATGGTCATCTCTAAAAAAAGTGCTTTATTTTGTCAAGTTGGTCTTCATTTTCAAAAATTCCAATTAATAGATACGTTGTAGTGCCGAGCTTCATTAATAGTTCTCCCTGATAACCGTTATGGTACAAGTCTTAACGGCGCATAGAATCAGAAGGCAAAAAGAAGCGGCAACTACATTTTTATTGATAACTGATGCAAACTAGAAAGCTGTGAGCTCATGAGCATATGTTAACGAGCGAAGCATAAATAAGACGCATTTGAGATGGCTGGGAAGCTAACTCGTTATAGGCAAGCATTAATCAACATTTATAGTCAGACAAAAATGAATGAGACATATGATGAATACGATACCAAGTGTGCACAAATATACGCTCATATGAAAATATAGTCAAGGTTAATAAGCGAATAATTAACAAGATCAAAATATAACTCTAATGTATAGGAGAATTGGCTTGGACAGTAGCTACGGTGAAGTATATGGGCTTAACATATTAACTGATACTACAACGTCATAGAGGAAGAAACAATCAGTTAACGGACAAACACCCCTATTTTTTTCAAATTACTCTAAAATAAACATTTAAATATCTAGTGTCAGAAGTATGATGATGAGAGTGTTCAGAAAAACACATTACCTACAAATCATTAAAAATCTGCACTTTCAAAGTATATTAGTATGTGTATATTACCCGGTACAGTTTAAAAATGAAATGATTGCATATCCTAAGTTTACCAAACATCTGATTTTGCAGTTCTGAAGTAATACGATAGAAAAATATGTTTTAAAGAAAGTGATAATGATGTAAATACTTATTTGTCTTTAGAGCCCTTTCCATGACTGCACCTCACTACTGAAGCAATTTATTTAGGATAAAATGTAAAACATAAAGCTGAAATATTAACGTTTCACATTTTATTTATCCCTACATTCTTTTACGGTTCTATTAAATTGGATATGTAATGTAAAGTATTCCTTTCATACAAAATAAACAGTCCTAATTAAATGAACCAAAATAAAACATTTGTGATATCATAATGAGTAGAAGAATTGAATTTTCTGACATTTCGTGGTTCAATGTAAGTCACTCAAGTTTAAATAGTATAAATGAACAATGCAAGAATATTAGGTGTGATCAATCAAAAACAGGTCTGACCAAGTCGATGTCATGTCATCCCGGTCAAGATGATTTATAAGAGACATATTTACCTATTTGTGCGTGAGAGTGTGTATGTTGTGTTGTTTTGTATTATGCTTTAATTCTGCGTTGTTTTAAAACTCGCTTCTTTATGGTTTACCCTTCAGAATACTCTAGTTCGCTTAAATGAAAAAATTCCCTTTATGTCAACACAGAACTGTATCTACAAATTATGATGTGTCGATTGTGATGCTTTTTATATTGGAGAGTCATCTCGCAAAAACTTGACTCCAGCCAGAGGACATCTTAGGTTCATAAAGAAATCACCTAATAATCCCGTAGAACTGGAAAGACCCTAAATTACATCGGCAATAGCAGTTCATGCCATTTTCAACAACCATCTAATCGATATCAAAAACACCTTTTCAACTCCAAAGAAAGGAGAGTAGCTGAAGCTTTCCATATAATGCCTAATCCTACTGCCCTCATTAGAAAAAAGCCACACCATCCTTCCGAATTAAACCATTTATCCAAGCTACCATGTCTGATTCTATTCACATTTCACACTATTATCGTACAGACAAATTAAAATCTATCCTTTCTATATAAGAACTCTCGTCTAAATTAGAGCGAATAGTTTCACAGTATTTGAGCGCCGAATTGATGTAAGACATTAAATAGGAATAATATATTTGTAAAATCTCAGCGAATGAATTTTTAAAAATTCATATATCTCTCTCACCCTATCTGACCCATATTTATTCTGATCACAAATCTTAAATTTTCACTTCACATATATACAGATTCAAGTGGTAACATTCTATATGAGTCATATCAACATTGACAATTTTATTCTATTTGGCTTGACAATCCTAAATTTGCATACTGTAAACGATGGACTTTGCCTTTAACCTGGTCATTTTTTCGGATTATTAATATGGATATATAATTGTAGAACCTGAAGAGAATTTATCGAAAAGAATATTCTTCGTTCAAAAATTCATTCGCTGAGATTTTACAAATATATTATTCCTATTTAATGTCTATCCTTTCTAGCCACAAATGTCACATTTTTAATCCCTTACCATACGTACATATACACACACACGTACAAATATGCAAATATGTCACATATAAATCATCTTGACCGGAATGACATGACATTGACTTGGTCAGACCTGTTTTTGATTGATCGCACCTAATATTCTTGCTTTGATTCATTTACGTTATTTAAACTTGTGTTAATTTAATTTGTTTATTTATTCCCTGAAGAAGTGTTTTACACTGAATCACTAAACGTCAGAAAATTTAATTCTTTTATTCATTAAGATATCACAACTATGTTATTTTTATTTATAACTTCCCATTCAATGCTCAATTTATTTGAAATTATCAAGCCTTAATTGAAATTTTGTTGAAGAAAGAAGTTTTGTAATGTCAAATTAACGAATAGGTTAACACACAGAATTTAGTAATAATGACGAAATAAACATACCCAGGATTATTATTCTTTAGAAACTGTACACTACATTTTTGGTCATTAAAGTATATAAGGTGATTTTATATTGAAATAATATAAAAAAGACATAAATCGGAACATATTTTCGCTAGGTTCGGAATCAAATTCCCTGCTCTTATTCAATGTTTTTCAAAGTTGATTACAGGAAGTAATTGAAGTGAAACAATAAAATAGCAATATAAAACGTAGTAAATCAATAACAATACCATTATTTTGACTTTCGACAGGAAAAAGAAGATATGAATGGTTTCTACTTTCTTTCACAACCCCACCAGGTGTTTAGACAATGCATTGGGAAATAATAGTATTTTAATGCTTTTTACAGATGGATTAGAAAGGAAACCAACTCAAAATATAGAGATATTTTAGTCTGATGCAGTCAAAATACTAGTCAAAGTGATTCAATTCTAGCAAAACTACTGATTAAAGGTTGTAGGCTTCATATTAACCCTCAATTACTGAAAGATGTTACAAAATTATTTAAGTTACTTAGTCAAACAGAAAATAGTTGAATATCAAGTCTCATCTGGTCAAAAGAAATTTCACTTAGCCATACTAATACTATTTACTTTTCAAGGGTGTGTAGTTATAGCCAACGACAGATTTTACTGGTGATTTCCTGGTTTTTAAGGGAGTTATCATGTGATCATGATGTCATTATTGCGTACTCTGTAATGATTAGACAAACAAACTTTCCAATTGGCTAAATAAATTTTTGAAACGCTTTGCTGATGAGTGAGTAAACTCTGAAGTAATGCAAACAGGAAGAAAAACTTTCATAAGTGTAACGATTGTAAGAATCATGTCTGAAATATATAATAGTTTAAACTAAAACAAATGACTAACGACGTAATTACTCAGTTGACTTGTTCTACGGCACATCAAAACCTTTAATATGCATGAATGTGAGCAATCCTCAATGGTTTGGTGGTCTTTATTCTTATGTTTCAGTATTTACTCATTAACTCACAATAAACTTACAATCGTAATACTTCAGAATAACATATTTAAAAACAAATAAGTACTGGAATTCCTTAGAGTAATTCAGACGTGTAATTTTACTTAGTTTGTATAAAGTTTATCATACAGTTAAGTAATTTCATTCATTATAAATGCCAAGGAGAGTATATGGGTTGTAATTGAGTGAGTCAATTCCGTCTGATGTTTTATAATTGTTTATTCAACAACTAAAACAAGAGTATTTTCTTAAACGTCAGGTAAAGTTCGTTAATACATATTTAGACAAAAATGAACCAAACAGAACTTTTTAACCTCACATAATGATTACTTTATATACAGCATAATAAATGAATTCAATGCTGGATGAGTGACTAAAATTATCACATATCAGTTTATTTTTTCATCTCAAATCCATAAATACGATCGTACTCATTCAAAGAATTAATGATTAATAACTCGGATAAACATGAACCCCGATTCTACGGCTACAATATCTTAAGAAATACTTAGAATATTCTCCATTGAGTTTGTACAAATCCAATCTATGTAAATTCCATTTCCGTCTATCATTGGTTGAATCGTTCAACATATATGAAATCCAGAATAGGGAAAATCAGTATCTATTATGCTCTATATATTCACCTGATAATAAAGTAATAGTTGTAATACCTAATCGATTCTATACAATTTATATGAATTTAAACCAAATTAAGAAAAGAAACAAAGCAGATAATATAAAAGAAGAGATAGAGTGATTTAATGATATTAAGTAGATGATACGTTTTTCACAACATTCATTTCTCACAGGTCTCATATAAAAATTTTTTTTCCAAGAAAGTGTTGAACTGAACAGAGATAAAGAATTATTGATTATGTTTCCATAGATTTTAATTTCTACCTTTAATTATTCATTTGCATCATACTGATCAATAATTATAAAACTTTTTCTTCCAAAAAAGTTTATTTCATATAGTAGCTTCAATTATAAATGTATTTTCATGCATTTAATTAATGATGTGGTGGTTTAGTCTTTCAGAATCTATTCAATTTAGATGCTGAACTTTATGAGAATAGTAATGTTCAGTTCAAATACTTTTGTCATTGTATAATCTAATTACGACAATTGAACTGTCATAAAATTCAACCAATCCATATTATTAGTACAATTGGGTTTGTAATAATTGTTGAATTTTGTGGTTTACATCACAGAGTGACATTAATCAGACAGTTATTAAATACTAGGAAGAGTTAGAGATCTGTTTTAACTTGGTTGGATTACCCTTTTCAGGGTTTTTCATCAGAGCAAAAAGAATGGCAGCTGAATATTGGTCACAAGGTCGAAAACGATTCATAATATCTGATTTTATGCGATACAATTCCTTTCTGTTTATTGTTTACTCAAACGACATCTATTATGAATTTTTATGATTCAAATTAACTTTGAATTTATTAACTTATTCAATGTTTTATCTCTATTTCTTTTTCTTTAGACAAGTGATCCTCGAGTAAAAATGAAATGCAATAAAACAATATCAATAAATGTTATCAGACTATTAGATTGCTTTAGTAAGAAATCATTAAATGAATTTGTACTTAAAGTTAGTCGATTCCCGGAAATCACATCGCTTCCTACTTTTGATTACAATATACCTGTACATTTTATAGGTAGGGAAAAACTGTTATCCTTTTTTATTATTTGATCGATTATGTATTCTTTTATAAATATAATAAAACACCTTGCTAATTACTAAAACTAATATGAAATGATGGATTATATTTTTTATTGATTTGATTAGTGAAATGACTCGTATAAAATGTAATACAATGTTGACAGTTAAGGAGGTATTATTTAATCGCAGTTTGATCCCCGTATTACTACTTTTCCATAGATTTTGCTTCAGCTTTAGTCAATATTATGTACAAATCCATTATTGCATCATTTCATTTCATTTCGAGACGTCAACAACAAACAGTTTGTATCGAATATATTCACCTAGAGAAATAAATGATTTTAAAGTTGATGAATAGATATCAATGATATAGACTAATCAAAACGGATACGTCCTAAAATGTAGGACATGAAAAATTCTCTAATTTAACAATAACTACTCGTAAGTAACAATGATTGCTTTATCCAATTTCTGAATTCTCAGAAGGGGTTTTGTGGTTTTTTTGTAATTTTGTATAGTTGAGGACATTAGTCAATAGAAGCTAGACTACCATAGAAAACCTGGAAGCACTGGACGGCTCCATGAGGTACTTCCTGAAGTTCCAATGAGAAGCAGTAACCAGTGAAGTTCAACCAGGTCTGTTGGGAGATATCAACTCACTGAAGACATTGGTGAATGGTTGCTCAATTTCGTGGATTGGTTGAAGTTAAACATTGACACCGTTGGATGCCGGCACAGTGGTCTAGAGGTTAAGTGCTCTGGCGCGAGACTGGTAGGTCCTGGGTTCGAATCCCACTCACGAGAGTGGGTTCGTGGATGCGCACTGCTGAGGAGTCCCATAATAGGACGAAACGGCCGTCCAGTGTTTCCAGGTTTTCCATGGCGATCTAGCTTCAATTGACTCATTACCTCAACTATATAAAATTTCTGAATTACTTAATTGTGGCCAAAGCAATATAGTCTATGTAGAAGCTAAATGCAAGTAAATTGTGATGATTCCTTTTAAAATTATAAAATCTTCCTAGTAATGTATACGAAAAAAATATTATTTTTACTTTAGATATAGCTACAGTTATATTGACTATTGCGAAATATTGGGTAAATGAATTTACGAACCACAACTAAATTTCTACAATATATTGATTTAATATAAATTTATTTTTTACACTAAGTTTCAACAAGTAATACTAACAGCTTTGAAGATCTTGCATGTTGTCAGACTACAGAGATACAGTCACAGGCCATTCGAATCCAAACTCACTTTAAAACGATTTATTATTCTAGCCACATTTAAATGAACCTAACGTACACTTTTCTTAGTTATCAAAAATAATATACTTGATTCCCTAAACAAATACCCTGTGGTCTACACCTTTAAAAGACATTTAATTGTTCACGGATTTTAGGAATTGGTTTAGTCATAATACGAAAGCTGTATATAATGCTGATAAAGTGTGATATCATCAGTGGGAAATATTCATGCATTACGACGACAAGAAGCTTCGGTTACGTAGAGAGAAATATATGAAAATACTGGATAGAAATAAAACTAACATCCCCAAAGTGTTCACATTTATCAGACAGATTTTAATTAAAAAAGCTCTCCTTTTACGCAATACATTCTTTTCTGAGAAACCCAATTATCTCATTTCTTAAACCTAATATATATTTTTTACAGCTCATTCATTTATATGCCAGAAAAATAACATCCGACTAAGTTTCAAGCTAGCAAAGAGTTCTCTGAATGATAAGAACAATTCTCTTGTTTCTGATGTTTTAATGTTCCCTATATCAGAATCGCAATTGATCGATCAAAACAAATGTAAGTTGAATTGATAAAAATTACTAAGGTATAAATTATAGGTTATAATTTCATATAACCTCCCATTATTATTTTGAGTTATTGCTGTATACATATATCTGTCGTGAACGAGAACACGAGTGGGGACGACTGATCGTCTTTGGGTGCAAAATTACGGAATATCCTAGTAAAATCTGTGAACCAAACAGTGAATTCTTCATTTTCAAAATGTCAGTCAATTGTCTCAGACTTAATTGTTTCTACACCAATCATTCTTTGTTCTTGTTTTCTTTTCTTTGATCTTCTTAACCTTCTGCCTCTAGGCATTTCACTTTCGACTGGTTATACATGCTACTTATATTTTTCAGCATCAGTAGCACACACCACATATATACCAAACAGTTATTTTGTGTTATCACTTGACAGTTTCCAACTTGCATCAGGGACTATATGAACGTTGAGAAACACGAGGCAGCGGACAGTATTTTGATCACAGTTCTGTTACTTTTAAGAAGTAAATACCAGCAGTCTCATCACGGTGACATCACCTTATCACTAAATGACAGGCATGTAGCGCCCCATATTTCTGAATTTAATCTACTTTCAATATTATAAAACTTTCATCGATTGTAACAGATGATACATATCCCATAACCAACATGAGTAAATGCAATATCCTGTTGCTTCTCAGTTTACAAGATTTAGGAGTGACCCTCGAATTTATTCATTAGTGAATACATTAACACTAAATATAGATTTGGTAGATTTAGTTCAAGTTATATATTCTTTCATAGACTGAAAGTAAGTCCAAAAATTATTTCTACAAATTAAAATTATTTTTTAATCAATTAGTAGTTTTTTTCAAAAGAGAAATTAATTTAGTGAACCAATGAACTAAAAAAAATGCTATAACTGGAAAGTGCGTCAACAAACTTTTTTAAGATTATCCAATTGCTACAGTCGAATTTTTGTAGTCTATGTTAGTAGAGTAAATGATTACAAGTAAAGTTTCTGTACATTCAACGCATACTACTTAGAATGAAATAATGTTCTTAATACTTAATTCTCATTGTTGATTGAATTCAAACGACCAAATTGCAATTTGATAATTAATCTAGACGACCTAATGCTTTATGAACTAAGTTTGGATGTTAAGTGAAATTCTTAAGACATATGTGCAACACTCGTTGTGAGACGTTATTCTCGAGGTACTCGAGTAATGACCAGTGGGTTACTATTCGCTCATCAATTTGTGTAAACAAAACGGCTTTATACGAGATCAAACAACCTAAATTATATTGCAGGTCGAATTTCCCATGATTTTATGAAAAGGATACAGATCTCTCAATATTTAATCTGCGCTTATAAGTTCCGGGAAACAGTTTTTAATAAAACAAAGATGGTTTTACACAGATAGATATATCTGAACATAGTCTTGGAGTTTTCATCAGTAATACGTAATGATTAGTGTATGACTGAACTGCCATTAGTACACACGTGCTACTGAAAATGATTTATGAAGCCTTCATGTCTACTTCATAATTATTATTTTCAAAGAGACTGAATTAATTGAAACCTGTTACTCTTACAGTAATCATCTTGACATGAAAACGTTTCTCCTCAAACATTTTAATCTAAACAATACTATGAACTCAACTGAAAAATTACAATTAGGGTTTATAACTAACTAATAAATTGTTTGTTTATACTTTCAATGTACAACCCACACTATCATTTCACATATAAAAATATAAACAAGTGAGCAGTCTTTTTGATGTTTCTACAATATTCAAATGAGATTTTTTTGAAAACTACTTGTACTCTTATAATAACATTCAGTATATCGATACGGTGAGACCCAATTCAATAGAGATTTTTTCCATCAGTGATAAAACTTTGAAAGAATCCAACAGAGTGTAGTGAGATAAACAACATTATAAAGAACTAAATATTTATTTACCGAAATTAATTTCTTTGTACGTAAACAGAACTAACAAATTTACTATTGTCCTTATTAATTTATTTATTTTATAGCTGTGTCGATTTTAAACAGAACATTACAGTATCATTCAAAAACCAAATTAGTTCTAGAATCTTCAGTTACATACAGAAATCATACTTCTATTACCAAAGAACAAACAATAGTCTGGAAAGAGTATAAACTTTTACTTATCCCAGCTATATTTGCATTTCTTACATTGATTGGTATAAAAATTATTCTATGCAGTTTTTGGTTACCAAATTCAATTGTAAATAAATTTATAGTTTACTTTAAAAAGTGTAAATATAGAAGAACATCAAGAAGTCAATCGAATCAAACATGTTACAAGCATGAAACAAAAAAATTGTTCTTAGACAATGATATTTCTTCAATGTCGAGAATAGATTCATCAAAAGAATGCATCAGCATAACAAGCCCATATCAATGTAAATGTTTAATTGAACCGATTGTATTGCATACAAATTCTTGCACCAAGTGTACGCTGGAACAAATTCATCAAACATAGTGTTATTACCATTCGAAAAAGGTGATTTGAACGATTTTGCATTCTGCGGTACGGTAATGTATATACACTGATGAAATAAAAACTGGTGGCAATCAGTGACTTGAGAATGCTTTGTATAAAAATACATGGTCATGCTGTCGACAATTCAAAGCTCTTATAATCAACTTCAACAGTTCAATGGAAATGTTAACTTCTGTAGAGTATCAGGAACATTTCGTAAATCATTTTTACTGGTGGTACCGTCAGCTCAGTTATTGTCAGTTACTTAATCCAAGTTATAAAAACAGAAGTCACAACAGTTTGGCGAAATATTTACTTTTATTTTAGATATTGGTAATGGATTTACTCCTTACTTTCAAATTTGTATTGTAAAAGTATTCATTGAAAGTAGAAAAAGGACTCAGCAACAATTCTATTTTTTTCAAAAATTTATTTTTGAAACCCCTCTAAATATTGTTTTGAGTGTCTAAATACTACACTAAGTACGTTTCTGGATTTAAGCTAACATAATTATATTACAGATGGTTTCAGTCTTAGCAATTTACTTAGAATCATCCAACAGACTAATTTCCAATAATAAGATATTTCCTCATTTAAATTATGTATAACGTTCACAGGAAATTCTTGGCTAGAGAACCAGATAGACATTCCGCTGTGTATTGGAAATGAATCATCACTTAAAAGATTTACTGTTGATTACCTCCATCCACCTAATGTATAATGCATGGTATAAAGTGCCCAAACTTTAGTTATTATTGTCTTTTATGAGCTTTCACAAGTAAAATCAATAAAAATAAATAATTTTTGATGAAGTTTATTTATGAATACAAAACGAAAGCAGTATTTTTCTTTCTACTACGCTGAGTTTTATCCCAACTACTTTTTTTGTTTTACATTATGTTACTGGCTATAAATCAGTAGTATATGTTAAAAGAAAGAAATTTCAGAACTAATCATGTTTCCATGTAGAAAGTATATTTTTTGTCTTCTATAATATGTTTTTTAAAGCAATTTGAAAATCAAATGATAACGAAACTTCAAAACTGTACATCAAAAGCAAATCTTTCATAAAATGTTCTGTTCAACAGTAAACACATAGAAAGTTTATGTTTAATGACGTGACAGTTACTTTTGAAAATTCTATAAATGTAAGTTTTATCTTGACTCATCAAATTTACAGTTAAACATCATACAACATGGCTGAAGTGAAAAATGCACATTCAATTATTTCTATTTGAATTATATTAATACAGCTTTAAAACAAACTGTCATCGGACATATGATGGATACATGCCTCTGATAGGATTTATTAATATTGAACCAATGCCTCGTACATATTTAAGATAAACTGCATTGGAAATCTATTGACTGAAATTATTTCTATATTTATGTAAAATCTCACATGTCTCAAGGTGTAAATTATTTTGTTCAGTGTTGTACCTACTTGTCATATTTACTGGACCTTAGAATCTCTCACAACTCTTCTCAGAATAGTTTGTTTTGATATTTCCTTTCAATATAATTTGACAAAGTAAATGAATATTTCTCGTACTGATTACTGTGTGAAATGAAATGAAGACAATTTATCATCCCACTGTGTTTCTAACTTAGCAAGGAAACTTATAAGATCCATCAAAGATGGTTGTAGTTCAACATATAAGTTTAAAACATTCTAGAAAAAACTCCTGCCAAAATATAGCATAAACAACACATACAGAATTTGTATCGTTAACTTTAAATCTAGATACAAGTCAAGTGGCTATTTTTTATTATCGGTATGAGGATTTGTGGAGACCATAATATTTTCACAGTTGAATTCACGAGTCAACCTAAGCTAGACCACCATTGAAAACCTGGAGGCATTGGACGACCGTTGAGTCCTAGAATGCGATTCATCAACAATGCACATCTATGACCAAGCACTCAGAACATTCAGTCACACGCGCGAACGCTTACCTCTAATTAGTGCTGGTTGATTTACTCACACTCCTAATGAGATATATGTTCTTTCACACATGCCTTGACACGTTGAACAACGCATTGCTTTAAAAAAATTATCTTTCGATCAAATTTCATTGAAGGTGAATTAACTATAAGAATAACATTTGAACAATAATTACCTTGAAGCCCTGACCAATGTATAACTTAGTGTTCAAATGCTTCTAAAGCTATTATTGCTATCCCGAAGAGAATAATGAATGCTTACTGTTGGGATCGATTTATGAAGTAATATTGATGTGAACGTGAACACAAGTACGGACAGTCGAATGTATTTGAACACAAAATTACAGAACGTCTCGGCAAAGTCAGACTTAATTGTTCCTGCATTTCCATACCAATTGTATTCTGTTCCCATTCTTTCCTTTTCGAACGTCTGTTGCCAAACATTCTATTCCTGACTATCGTTATATACTACTTATGTCGATATGAGTAGCCCACACACAATACAACACTATATATATATATATATATATATATATATATATATATATATATATAGTTTAAGTGTTAGGTAACTAAAATATGTATATTGATATTCCTCTTATTATTAGCTTTATTTTGACCTAAGATCTATAACTATATGACTTACTGTCCTTAAGTTATGCCACGGTTATTATTTGCAGCCTCCCATAATCACAGCCACATTTTGGCCTGATCTTGTACAAATGTTATTTTCTATTTCTGGTGTGATGTGGTCTGTTTGGCTTGTGTATAAACCGAGTATGTTTGAAATATATCATTCATATTGCCGAGGATGGGATTTGTGTTCTGGACTTAACAGGCAGGAAAAGGAGCCAATCTGGACTCCAGGCTATCTGTTCAGATGTATGCGTCATTTGTGGGTCATATAGGGCCTCATATCTAAATTTGGCAGTAGTATTCGCGGTAATCGTATAATCTAAAGACATAAAACTAGTAAAACTACTTGAGACTTAGAATGAAATATCATTCAAACATAGGGCTAACTTTTCAGTCCATTAGACCAGTTAATTTCGTTTAGTGATAAGAAATTGAAATTAATTAATTAGTGGTTTCTACTCAAATTGTTAATGAAGTGAATAGTTAGGTTGATCATAAAACAAAATACATTCTCTTTTTTTCAAGTTTGAATGTTAAAAGCAAACAGATTAGATGTATACACTTTGCCCTGCCTAATATTCTTGAGTTCAAAAATTATTTTGCATTTTCTATTCCACGAATTCCTCTACACTCATTGAACCATATTATTTTTAATGTCTTATATATATATTATACTGATAAAGATATGTGCCAAATGTTACATTGTTTTTAACTGACTGACTGAATGCATTAAGTGGTTAGGTTGGTCTTAAAACAAAGAAAATACATTATCTTCTTTTCTTATTTAAATGGTAGGAACAAATACTATATATATTTATGTATAAATGTTAATATGGTAAACTTTTTGATGGTTCAAGTCATGAACTGACACATCAGCTATAGAGCTAGTGACGTCAGAAAGTTGACAGCTACTTCGTACTTGCTTTAGATTTTTGAAATGCTCGCAGCAGTGGCCTCGTCAGAAATATAGTGTGGTGTGGTCTACTTACATCTATATAAGTAGTATATGGTGTGGGTCAGACATAGAATGTATTTTCGCAGAAGACCGATGAGTAAAGAACTGAAATGAAGCGCAATCGTCTGGAAAATGCATGAGCAATGAAATTAGAGAAGAAACAGAGAAGATTGAAACAATTGGTTGTTAATTTGCAAATTGACTGTTCATTGTTTGGAAATCAGAATTTACTGAGATAGTCTGTAATGTTTGCTTAAATACATTCGATTGTCCCCAACTAGTGTTTTGTTCACTACAATAGTATCGAATTAACGCCATGCGCTATGAATAACTGAGTAGGTACTCGTCAGCTTCCATCTCTAACTTCAGGCAATTTCTCATATAAAGTTTTCTGTAACTAATCTCATTCGTGAGACATAGTTTCACTGCTAACTTCATTGAATTTAAAGTATTATACTACCGGCCTACCTTAGTTAAACAACTACCAAAAACCGAGGAGCACTTGAGAGCTGTTTCGTTGTAAAAAGAGATTTCTCAGCAGTGCAGATCGACAATACCATGAGAAATTAAATACAATCCTTTGAATCTCACAGTGAACCTTAAGCCCTCAAAAAACACTGAGTTAGTATTCAATGGTTTTCATTTTCAACTTTCCCAGTTTAAATTTACTAATCACAGATTTTAAACTAGAACTTCTGAGAAATCTATCGCAAACATATACAATAATGATTGGAGACTGATTTTATATTATAGAGGAGTTTCAAACTAGAAGTAAAGCTTTTGTCCGGTGCTCTCTGATTTTAGAAGGATCTCCAGCTATCTAAATAAAGCTCTATCTACATAAACATATTCAAAACATTTACGTAAGACAAGGTAATTGCTTGGACTGACCTTCAATTATTCTAATTCGAAGAATTCTTGTACAATTCAAGATGTTGGATGATTTCTTTGGTAGGAAATATATGTTGAAAACCATTTTTCGTATCATTCATTAATACTTTATTATTCATTTCATTAAAAAATAACTTCAGTAACTCAGTTTGTTTTCTCTTCAATATGGTTATCTCTTTAATTAGGCCAATATAGTGATACATTAGTGAGCATTGATTTTCTTTTGAAAAAATATTGAGTAGGATATTTTGATTATTAAATTGAACAGGCTGATTTTCCAAGTGAAGATTATCGTTTGAATTTAAATGACATGTCACATGACTATTTGAAATCGGCTTATTAAGACACAGCAATTCATTATTCGTAACTGCATCGTTGATACGTCTTTATGGAAAAGGAATACAACTTATTAATAGGAAAGAGTTAACCAGTATCAAATACTCATAAATTGAAATACTTTATAAAATGATGAAATAATGATTTACGATCTAAAGATTTGGTTGGTTGGGCAATTATCCGAAATTCAGAACATTATGAAACGACCAGGAAGATCAGTGAATGAAAACGAATAACTAAAGTGGACAATATATAACTTTTCATACAGAAACAATAATGCACACTCAACTTTGAATCAGTATTATGCAACCAGATATAAAAGCAATGTCAACAACAGATGGATTGAATAAGACTCTGCAACACCAGATTGTTAATTAATACAATGTACTTCTGTTATATATATTCGCTCCAACACTGCCAACAACCTAATGCTGAACCTAAGGCTGAACGAATGGGAATTTTATAGGAATAAACAAAGTTCAGTTGTACCGAAAGACCGAATTTGTCAACAACTTATACAAATTATTTGTAAATAAGTAATCTACTGCTTTTGAAAAACTAAATTTTCCGTGTAGTAGTCGCGTCTTATTTTTTCGTAGTATTTTACACAAAATTCACATGTATCCTTATAATCTTATTTTATTATACAAAGTTAGTTGGTCAATTATCAACAATATATGACCTAGCGTCAATGTGCATCGGACATACTGCATCAATATAAAAAAAATGAACAAGAATCTTAGTAAAAAACGGCCGGAATAACTGTAGCGACAATGATATTACGAAAGATAATTCATTATATAGATAGTAATTGCATACAACTAACCTAATAAAATAGATACGCGTAGTCTTTTATGACAAATGTTTCATTCTTTCTCACTAGACTTCAAGCAAAGTTCCACAAAAAATTACATCAAAGTATGAAGTCTATGAGGTTTTGTGAGAAAAAGACCTTTCCAAAGCTTCTATATTAAAACAATAAATTTAAATAATATCTTATTGGGAATAGGTCATTCAGTCAGTCACTCAGTCAGCTACAACGTTGGATCAGACAAATATATGCATCGGTTGAAGTGGTAGACAAAGCTGGCATAACAACGTTATAATGTAATACTAGTTACCGTCAAACCAGTGAAAATCCGATTTGTCAAATTCCTAGCTCGACTAGAAACTACGGGAAAAAGTTTCAAAGAATTATTATTTGATATTTGTCGTCAATAGGTCTTTGTTTTCCTCAAAACACAGTGGAATTATATTCACATGGTATATAGTTATCATCAAATTTCAGTGATGAATGTGAGAAGCTTACTTAAATGCTAAGTTCAAACAGTTTGCGCATTTTTGATATTGTTTATGGTATTGTTCACATGATATTCTCAAACGAATACACTGGGAACATTGACAAACACTTCCACTAAAAACAGTAGTTTGAAATTCATGATTTCGAAATATTGTCATTATTGACTGACTATCTTGATTAGAAGTGGTTATTGTGTTTGGAAACTCTTCTTTGATAGTTTCCCTGAGAATAAAGGAAAAACAGTCAATATACAAGAAGTTCATAGCATTTTACATCCCAAGAATGTCATCCAATTACTTCAACTGCTATTACATATACTAATTAATCAAATATTATAGCTCGTAAACAGTGAAACAAAGGAGTGAACAAGATCTCTAATAATTTATTAGGATTAAATAAAACGGAAGTAACTGGTAAAAATTTAGAAATTCAAATCGCTGAATTCTACTAAGCCCTTAGTGTAAAACCTAAATACCCTAGCTTTGTTAAATAATCAGGTCACTGGTGTACATTAGATAAAGAGTTCAATCAAGAATAAAAATTATGTTTAATACAACTTGGTTTTCTACGATACTTTTATTTGATTCATCTACAAAATGCTAATTTCTTTGTGAACATGACATACCTTGTTTGAATCTTTGAACGAATTAAATCATTTTAACTTTTGAAAATTCTGAGGTCTTCATAAAATACAACTGTCTAGAACTGTATCATAAATTTCGGTTTTTGGTCCCAGTGATATAATAGAAAGGTATAATTGTAAACAATATTGCAAGCCTAATAGTTCTTCTCCTTACATGACACAAACAGACTGACGGTTGTTAGGGAGAATAAAAATGTTTAGTTCCTTACACAGATAATTATTCTATTATATATCGTATCCTAAGATAAAACCTCGATTATTTATACTACATTTCTGTTTAATGTCAGGTTGTTTTTTCTCGCGACTTCAAGCCTATTTGTTAGGAGTGATTACATTCGTGTTTGTTTCTCTTTAAAATATCAGTGATTTTATTTTACTCGATCCCTCATTAGGTCTAATATTTCAAGGTACTTTCATGAAATGTTATCAGTTGATGTTTTCACGTCAGGGAGATGTCATTTAATTTGCTTACCACGTTAGGATTTAAAAAAAATTAGAACTTACATAAAATTCAAACCCAATGTACAAGGATTACATCGGATATCTAGCATACAGTTGCGCGGCAAAAATTTAGTTCCTTTGAAGAGAGACTCAATTTCTAAAATACAAAATAATAAGAAAAGGACTAACGGTGTGTCATTTTTCAGCAAAAATGAAACTCATAATTTACATCGAACTACGTTTATTCAATTGTGCAAAAACATTTTCACTGTGGAGGAATTATAAAGCCAAGACTAATTTACGAGTTCCCGAGGTTCACGTAAGAAATCATGACCAGTGGAGTTTACCTATGTTGGGAGTAACATAATCACCACTTATGTTATTGAGTAGTCACCTAAAAACATCAGTATTTCCCTCAAGTTAGAAATGCGGACCACTAAACTTCAACTCAGTAACAAAAAGGTAAGATCCTGAATGACTTGGAGGTCATAAATTTCACCCTTGTTGAGATTGTGTGCATGGACTTTTGATAAATTTCATGCAGTGACATGATAACTCCTTATTGGTCTCTGATCTTCAATGACCTCATAACTAACGTTAATGATTGAGACACCTGAATATTTTTAGTATGTTTCCAGATAAAATTCCAATGTAATTGTTCAAATAGAAGACAAAATATAGGTTTTTAGTGATGTTTAAATGAGAAGTCTACAGTGCAACAAAAGTAATCATTTTTGATTTTTAATTGTCTCACTGTATCTTGAGGTTCATTTGATCCTGAATTAGTAACTAAGTAGTATTATTCTCTCTCTTAATCAGTCAGTATTATGTAATATAGAACTTGTAATATATCTGTATCAATTCAAGTTGCTACACCACATTAACTCAGAAAAATGAGAATATCAAGAGAAATCGTATAGTAGTAAAAGTAGTAACAGTAATAATAGAAAGGATTAGACGTAAATAATGCGAAGCGAGTGATCTGAAAATTTTACTCACTGAGTTAGGACAAAACAACTAAGACAGCTTAAACTAGACTCAAACAGCTGTTCATTAACTGATGTAACAACTTCATCGTTAGAATAAGAAGTTGCAGATCTGAGAATGAATAGTTAGGTGAAATTTTGCTTACCATATACAAGGTGTTTTATCCTTTTCCTACTCTATGAGTTTTTCTAATATCGATTATTATATTTTTCTGTTATTACAAAAGAAGCAGTATTATTTACTTGAATGGATTCTCAAGCCTTAGTGTCTAAATAATGTTTTTTTGTAAAATATTCTTACAAAATATTCTTGTAAAACAAAAGTCTGTTTGCTTACCATTTATCAAATTATGACTAATTATAAGCTTTTGCAGTAATGGAAACGGCAATATAGGTAAATCAGTTATCCTAAAAAGAGAAGAAAGACAGAATTCATCTGTATTTATATCTCATATTCCTTTGAATAATTTTATCGAAGTTAAGATTATCTTCAACGTCTTCAAATTCAACTGATCAAATTGTACCCAGCAATCTCAGTGATTACTCCGTTCATTTAGTGAATGAAAACGGTATATTAGTGAATAATTTCCATTAAAAGTTTCATTTCAAGCTCTGTCTTTTATTAGATTTATGTTTCCTATCAAGCATGTCGAGTTGTGGTATACTGAATACGTCCAAAGGAGACGACTGAGATTACAAATAAATTTATTTAATCTATTAATTTTTCATCAAATGAAGGACATTTTAGACATTATAAGAAATATTGACAACATCAAATTAGTCATAAATACGAATAAAACAAATGAAGTATATAATTAATTAAATTCTGATATACTTCGTTGAAAAAATGAAAATGAATCTTAAAATCAATTACCTGTTATGGCTTACATTCAAATAAATAAGATTTGGTAACCAACTATCACCTAACCAATTTATTGATGTTAAATTGTTATAATCTAAGATCAGTTCTTGTAATATAACTCCATAAAATCCTGTTTGAAATGGCTGGTAAATAAAGGAATAAGTTAGGTGATTAACAACCCATAGACTTAAGTTAATTTTATAAAATTACACTCAATACTAAACATATAAACATTAACATTTAAATCAAACAACAATGAGAATACTCAATTATATTTAAGATAACAAATTCATGATATTTGAACTTATTGAGATACAAATCAAACGACGACCGGTAATAAACAAGATGTTAGTTTGAGTCGATAAATAATGTTATCAAATGAAAATCACATTATTAACTCGGCAAAAATTTAAATAAGTCGATTATATGAAATAGAATACATTGGTAAAACGGATTTGCATTATACATTTTTCGAGCAGCTTTTCTCTTTATACAAGACAGAAATAAGACTACTTCTATTTATTTAAACTTATTTAATAAAATTAAACATTTACACTCCTCCATGAATCTATAATGTTCAAAAGTCTTGAATTAGACCAAAATAACTATTTCTAACTTTCTAATCATTAATATTGCTCCAGCTTAAATCGCTTCATAACAAAAATCGTATTCAAACTACATAAACTATTTAGAACAGCATTTGAATTAAATGGATAAATTTAAGAAATAAAACAAAGGAATAGATAGCCTACACAATTTCTAAAACAGTCATGTAAAATTTAACATAGAACGATCCTAAAAGCACCTAATATAAGTATTAAATAACACTTGAACTTGAATCAGTCATAGAACTCAAACACCTCTATCGTTAATTTGACGTTATAGAAAACATTGGAAATTTGGCTCTTTGACACTAATATTCATGTAAACAAACAAGCCTATCATTCTTAAGCCTGTTTTTCAAAGCTCATAGATAATTCTAAATCTTTACGTTAACAGGTATCAGTGACAAGGTTGGACTTGATTATTTCAAATAAATTAGGCACTGCGTAGAAAGTTAATAATAAATAAATTTTTTGTTATATCCTGATGAGTAGAAAAATCGTATTTCTGACGTTTTCTTTGTACTATTTAAACTTGTGTTAAGTTGATTCAGTTATTTATTCACTCTGAGGAAGTGGCCTACATTAAGTTACGAAATGTCAGATATAGAATTTTTTACTCGTTAGGATATAACAAAAAAATATGTCTATCAATAACATTAGTCTAATAATTCCAACAGTAAAACATTGTGACAAACGATACATGTATTCATTAAGATAATGATTCTCAACTCCGACTTTAATAAAAAGGAAGGAGACTGCTTCTTATCTTCTTTCGTACTTGCTAACTATAAATAGAATTCCGAGGTCTTTTCAGAAGATTTATTCCACCAACGAGACTATATGATGCATAACTCCCATGTTAATATTTACTTATTGAGCCCTTGAGTGTGAAGTAACAAAATATCTTAACAAAATGTAAACGAACCAATGAGATAACAGCAACCTTCTAAGTGAGAAAAAAGAAAAACTGTCAAACTCGGAAAATTGTGTTAGGTTAAACTCCAAGTTCAAATTTACATAAAATAACTATAAAAGGGTGTTTTACAGGTTATCTTGAGGATTAAACATTTCCAACATTTCTTTTAAAACCTATGAAATAATAAATTTAAGCACATACTTTATTTAATATATTTGATGATAATTGTAACCTAGTGATATTTGTAAGAGGTATTGAGTCTTGATCAATAACAGTTATTTCATTATCGGATAAATCTAACAAATTAAGATTTTCATTAGTCCACTTCGTTGTTGAAGGTTTTATTTGTATACATGTGATAAGATTACTTGATGCCATAAGTTGGTAGAGTTTAGGAAATGAAATGACTAACTTTTGTATATCTAACAAAAAAAGATTAAAAAAAACTGTTGTATTACAAGTCTTAAAAAGTTAAATAGTTCAAATTAAATGATATAACTACATATTTTTCGAATGGTAAGGCTCGTTTTTCTAATCAAAAAACTGACTTAGTGTATTGATGATTTGAAAAGACAATTTAATCCCTCTTAGCAAAGTGAAAAAAGACTTAAACAATCTCAATTACTAGTATGACGTGGATTTTTTATTACTTAGAAACTATCTGATAAACAGCCATGTCAATAATGAGACAATCATTATCAAGAACTTTTGGATGATCATCACACTATGTTGTGAATTAACTGAAGTTGTAATTATGAGAAAATTCAGAAGTCTACAGATAGTGTGCTCACCACGACACATAGAGGTCTAAGACTCGATCTCCAGCAGGTTCGCACAGCTGAAAAGTTCTACACTAAATTGAAACGACTATCCACCGCATCCTAGTTTCCAATGTCACCCCCCCCCAATGATCTTATGATTACTACCCATAAACTAACCGGTTCCTTATTTGTTTTCTGTCTAGTATGATATCAAATTTTAATATCATTATTTATTTAATGTTCAGTATTATTCCGATATAACTTATTTTCAATTGTTTAATAATCATAATATTTTTCAACACTATTTGAAAACTTACCCAAAGTTGTAATATAATTCGATGAAATATCTAACATTAAAAGGTTAGGAAAACATCCCATTATATCTGAAAGTTTTGTCATTTTGTTATTAGCCAATTTCAATATAGTTAACTTGGATAAATTCATTTCACCTAGATTCACACCATTAAGATGATTTCTCTACAATACATCACAAACAAAAAATTTGGCTAGAAACCAATTGTTTATTTTTACATCGAAATTGTAATACAACATTAAAAACAGAACTTTCGACACGATTTTATTTGCTGACTTCCTACAGATTAAAGTGATATTTATTAAAGACTCAAGAAAAATGCTTTCATCTAGGTTTACTGACTACATTTCCAAACGAGTTATGGTACTCAGAAATGAAATCATATATTTCAGCTCGACGCAATAAGTTGTGCTGTACCTGTCTTAGATAAAACTCTCAGTCTCATTTTAGTTTACTGATATTAGATATTATAATAATTGCAATTTGCAAGATGATTCGGAAAAAACTGGTAAAATAAATAATGAAACTGATAACTCAATGCTTTTTAGTTTAACTTCAATCATTATTCAGATATTTATTGCTTTAGAAATTGCTTACAGTTGTTCAGACAGATGTCTTTTATTTTCTAAATCAATTGAATTAGTAAGATGGTGCGATTAGGTTTAGTTTTCTGATTTTCTTTAGATATCTTTGAAAGAAAATTCATCTTTAATGAAGGACTGATTAAAGTTAATAAATAAATTCATAACTGTTCTGACGATTCAGATTCTGTTGATTGTGCCATTTTTAATCTTAGAGAATTAGTAAACTGAATTTAATCAGTAGTGACTTTTACCTGGACAATGTTTGTGTAAAGCATATTCATTATAAAATGAAGATGAAAAATTCAGTGTATTACAACATGGCTTATTGACATAAATTTGGTATCAATTAAACCTATCTCTAAAGATTTTTCTGGTAGCGTCAATGTTTGATTTTTGTGTGATTAAAACTAATTTGCATTAAGTCATCCAAGCCCAACAGGATGGAAGTCATTACAACAGATTCATGATTCTCGTTAAAATCCCTAATAATAGTTACCAATATATGAAATAAAGCACTCTTTTTTTGTTGAATTACGTATTCACGTCAATTAAAAATGGAATCATATAGAAAAGTTAACAAACATTTAAAATGGATGAGTGAAGTTTTTCAGGTATTTGCATATATTCAAAAAGGTTTACTTACGCTTGCATCTAAAAATTCCAGATTATTCAGTTGAGTTATTCCTTTAAGATCATTTGATTTTAGATCACATTCATTTATTATGAGGAACTTTAAAAAAGTGAAGTATGTTGAAATACTACTGAAATTTGTTATCCCAAATTTAACATTGAAACAGTTGAGATAGACTGCCTGAAATCAAAACAGTTATTATCAATACAAATTATTCAATGATAGCAATGTGAAATTATCGAGCTGATAACATTGTTACATAAAATGACAAACAGTAATGAAATAAAACTATCAAATAACATGCATTCCACTATGGTATAAATGAAAAAATGACAGCCAAATAATGGTTTAATTTTTAGATTAATTAACGTTTTCCCTAAAGGGAGTTTTTTAAAAACGTAAATTTTTTCAATAGTTGTCTTTATCTCTCAAATTATTCGTAAGCGTTATTATTTTGTTCACTGCACTTGTAAGATGTCCAACCCGACCCAGATCCTAGCTTAGTATTTGAACTTCGTTTGCCGTAATCAATTGATAAAGTTTAACATTTTTTCAGGTAATATCTAGACCATAGACTATACCAAAAAGAATCATCAGTTTAAACCAATCAAACTTATATATATATATATATATATATATATATATTGACTATCTTTTTATTTCTTTACACGTCTAAGAAATAACGCGACCATCAAAATTACAACATTACTCACGAAATCTACACTTAATTATCAACAAACTAAACTGGTAATCCATTTTGTTTATTTTATTTTTTTGATATTAGTTTTATTTTGGTTAATATTTAGTTTTTATTATATTCCTCTTCCATTACCCAATTCTTAAACCACCCTTTCTTTCACACATTTCCACTCACTTGTCTCTCTTAAATTATATGAACTCTCCAAATTCTATTCACTTATTACGTAACCCACCCCATTAGTTTTTAATACCATGACTCCTTCATTACCTCTAAAATTATCACACATTTGATCTTATCTGTTTTTGAACTCCACTCAACTATTACGCCACCCACCCTTTATGCTTCCTTCATTCTAATACCTAATAACCTCTGACCTTTCCTTGAATGCTAAAATTCTAATACATATTTAGTTGTAAGCAGCTGATGAGAAACCACGAAATATAATGAATTCATATTATTCTGTATCAATATTTGTTCTGTCTTTATTTAAAACTGACACAGTTCTCATCCATTTTTTGTTAATTAGAATATCAGATATATATATATATATATATATATCACTAATGGACAATCATTGTTATACTTAGTATACGAAATAAATACTATGTGAAAAATATACCTGACAGCTTAATTCCCGCATGACAACAGATGGTTCTGTTTCAACATTAGTATTATGTGAATTTAAATTAATAATTTGTTTGTGAATATATTCGATCAGATTAGTTGTTTGTGTTGATTTTTCACTTTGCTTAATCTGTGAAGAATTGTTCAACCTTTGTTAACGAGAAAAAAATAGAATTAATCTATGAATGAACGGTTTGAATGACTAAGCTTGATATTTACTAAACATTACGTAACAAATTTAGCATTTAGTAGCATTACATAGCTTTATGATCTCATTGTTTACTAACTCATATAGGATGTTTTTTAACTTAATATATTTTGAAAATTTCTCTTTTTAATTTTCATTAATTCATCTAATTAATTAACATTTATGGATCAGAAGGGGATTTGTGGAGATTTTAGTAATTTTGTATACTTGAAATCATGAGTCAATTAAAGCTAGACCACCATGAAATACCTGGAAGCACTGGACAACCGTTTCGTACTACTGTGGGACTCCTCAGCTGTGCGCACCCACGATCCCGCTTTGCGAGATTCGAACCCAGGACCTGTCATTCTCGCGAGGGAGAGCTTAATCTCTAGACCACTTATCCGGTATCTCACGGTGTTAATGTCTAAATTCAACCAATCCGCGAAATTAAGCAACGCATCCACCATTGTCTTCAGTGAGTTGCTATCTCACAACAGGTTTTCCATGGTGGACTAGCTTCAATTAACTCATGATTTCAATTATCATTTATGTATTTTGAAGTCTAACAATATTTATAATTGTCAGCTAACGATTACTTTCAGTTAAATATAGTTTATGCGAATTTCTAACATTGCAGCATAATTTTTTACCTTCAGTGGAATTTCCATAATCTGCGTTTACTTGATTTGTTAATTTGTTAATATTATCTTCTTTAAGCTGAATACTTTTATTTTGAAGCAGTTTATGTTGTTTTATACCTAATCATAGGCATTTACTTGAGTTCTGTATTAAATATTGTTATATAGAATAACAATAAAGGTTTTGCACTTGACTCATATAGTTCAAACCACTTAACGTGACTTAAAACATTTACATAACCCAATAACCTACTGCATTATTTCTAAATATTTGCCAATAAACATTGTGAAGTGTTGAAATGAACTTAAGCATATGTTTGTAATTTGTTTTAATTATACATCCATTCGTCACTATTTCAGTTCAATATATTTTACAATACCAGAATTAATAAGAGTCTCTTAAAACTTGGATAAATTTATCAGACAATATAAATGACTTTAACAACACTTATCATAATATGTCTATATATCATTTTCTTACAGTATACAGAGCTTAAATTTTGTCCCTATGATCTACAGATAGAATGCTAGCTGTAACATTTAAAAGTCTGCGATTCTATTCCTTATTAGATTGTTATAGAGTATTTACGTACTATGGTGAAATAAGTGTATAATAATCTATGATTTTTAGTAGTGTTCTCACTGCTACCACTTCGTAATGAATACCACCTACAAATCGAACTAATTCTTATCGAACTTCTTAACAAAAGTAAGTTGTAAATTGCTCATAAATAGTGTTAAAAACAAATCTCTGATATTACTGACATTGTGAAAAATGCTGCGTCGCAATTTGGAAAATTGTTTTTCTGGAACCGTATACTTTAACAGTCTATTACTAAGTTTTAAAATGTTTTCATATTTAACTTTATACCTCGAAAAGTTGCTGTCGCAATTTTCTGATCCAGATAAGAAGATCTCCGGAATTGAACTGACATCATTATCTGGATTTTCATGCGACTTTTGAGCAGCACAAGATGTCATAAATGTTAATTCATTGGTTGAATCATTGACATCAAACAACGCTGTTGTTGTTGCAGCCAGAGGATCAAGAGAAGAAACTGCCTTCTCACCAGTTTGCTCAGTTAGAACATTGTGATTGCCCATAACATTAGATACTTCCACAACTGACCTGCTTAAATAGTATTTAAAATAATTACAGTGCTACTCTAATCTGTAGAAATCAATATGCGAGAATTCGGATGACTATATATTATGATGCAAAACATAGTTACTTTTGGTCATAAAATCCTGATACTTTTCACAAGCAAACTCATTCCAACGACATTATATCACAATATGCCTCGTTAACAAAATTAATTGGTGTATAAATGTCACATATTTAAAACTGGTTTCCAAACACGTAGAACACGGCTGAAAAATTTCATCATATAAAAACACATATCTAATAATTTCGTCTCTGAACTAGATATTAATTAAGAATACGTAAAACAATCTAAAACAAGATAGATATCTAAATTGATACGATGAATTATCCTCACACTTTGATGAGAGAAAGTACTTTCCGAAAAAAATTGATTTACCAAACACGATTTATCACAGATTCGAACAAAATTATTCGCTCCAATACGCTTGTCAAATACAACTTCGTCGTACATATGAACTAAGAGCTACCAATAAATTACAGATTACAAGGAAATTAAGACGATGCCCAAATTTTATTAACATAGCAGAATATCCAACATTACATTAAAAAAAACTAGTTTAGAGAACCAAGGTGAAACAATGGTGATTACTTCAACCAGAAAAAACTAACAAAACACCACCTGGTCTTACTGTAGTGAAATAGAACACAAGTGGGGACAATTTAATGTTGGTGATCAAAAAATAATGAATCTCTTAGTAAAATCTGAGAATCATACAGTAAATACCTAATTTGCAAAATGTCAACAAAAAATTACAAACTTGACTGTTCCTTTGGAAATGTCAATCAGTCGTCTCGGACGTCACTGTTCTTTGATTTCCATACCAATCGCTTTCTATCCCCGTTCTTTCCTTCTCGATCTTCTCGACCTTCTGCTGCCAGACATTCTATTCCTGACTATCATTATATACTATTTATGTCGATGTAAGTAGCACATACCACATTACCAGTTAGTAAATTATATCTACCGAACAGAGTGGTAATTAAGAGAAAATAACAACATTTAAGCGCAGTGATCAAAAATCTAGTGATAAGTCAATGTCTAAGGTTGATTTCATCGTTTTTTAAAAAGAATGTTATCGCAGTCATCCTTAATAACCATACCATATTTCAATCCTGATTTGAAGAACAACACTGACTACTACTTTCAATTAGTTTTCAATGACATATATTGAAACTACATTACTACGAAAATATAAAACCTAGGTAGACACATCAGAGACCACTCAGGAAATGTCAAACTGAAAAATAAACATACTAAATGATATACCGAAAACTACAACCGTATTTTTCAACATTGTTTTCATAACTTCAAAGAAACATATTCATCAATCTACTAGCACATCAAAATCGACCTGTAGTTCATACCTATCAACTTTATCACAAACATTTTGAAATGTAGATGGGCCAATCGCCACAACCGGACACTGACTAGTCATAGACTGCGTGCCCAACTCTTTTAAATCGCTTAACGCCAGAGACGATGAGTGACATGATGCATCATTACCATAAGCTGGCTGGAGTGTCAAAGAACTTGAGGTACCGGGACGAGAAGCCTTATCATCTTCAGTCGGTTTAGTTGGGACAGTGAATTTAGCAGCATCAACAGAAACTTCAACAACCGATGGCTTACTGGAATGCAAACAAGATGGGTATAGATAAGTAGTTGAATGTTACTTGTGCAAAAGCTTATAAACTGATATGTATCATAGGAAGACATAGACAGATTGTTGAACATACAAAGGAGTGTTGTACTCGTACAACAATCACAAAGTGAATTCACGAAAATCAAAAATCAATTGTTAAGTGAAATGCGGACAGCGGATTGAGAGAAAGATTGAGCATTATGTCCTCGCGATATTAAAGGAAAATCACTAATGTGCAATTAAAATCCAGTGTTCATAGTATCTTAAACATTTCTTGTTACATAGAATTTCATGTTCATTGCATTTTATGTGGGGTGTAACAATTTTATTAATTCCTTTAGTGGTTTTCATTCACGTGAAAGTAGAATCACAGAATCGTTTTAGCAATCAACATTGTTGATTATAATTGATTTTCCACTATATTCTTTTCTAACTACCTTATATCCGTCATTCATTTCTTGATTTGCGCTGATGGCTTTAAAACGTTGGTTTTCATTCTATTTCTAATGTCATGACTATTCACTTTATAAGGATTTGTATTTTTCCCTCTGTCAATATAAAGAACTGTAAGTTATCAGTTTCCATTCACATATGTGCATCCGGAACGCAGTACCTCGCGATTGTCGTCTAGCTATATGCATTTCAACATAGTCGGGTGCGAGCTAGAAGTTAGATCCAAGATTCCTGCTTAGTTCTATCTGAAATAGACTAATGGCTATCTGGACTTAGAAGTCTAGTGAATGGCGCGTTCAGCATTTGAAGCAAAAGGTTCTGAGTTCAAGTTGCACTGTGAACATCAACACTTGGGTCCAAGTATATCCAGCTAACGAGTCCTAAATAAGACGAAACGCGCATCATAGGTTTCATTACTTATACCATTCATTTCAATACAGACATTGAGTTTAAGGATTTTTCATCACTTTGATTTATCGATTTATTTATCGTTATCAGCCCTACTTCTCTACTAATCTGCTTCACGTTTTCAATTTTTGTCCCTCTTCCCTATATCATCCCGAGGAAATTATCCTGATGCAAATAGTTACCGCTACTAACATCATTCATGAGTAACTGGTTAACCAGCGTTTTAGACGGTTAAAACTTGGATTCGAATAATCCATGAGATAAACTTACCCAACCTCTTCGACTTTACACCTTGAATAGTTTTCTGTATTAGCGACAACTGTTTCAGTTTTTTCCTGTAAACAACTGCCTAAAAATAGAAAACTCATTTATATAATAACCACATTCACAACCATTGCCCCAATGACTTGTTCTCGTCTCATCAGGTAAACCAAAATAATAGCCGAGATTTCTTTCAAGTAACTTGGTTCTATCACAAAGTTTTCCAGAATTTGAATGCCGCTCAACAGCAGATTGAGGTCTTATTTTATATTCATCATGAAAATATCTTGTGGTTAGATTTATTTGTTCAATATTTAACAAAGATCTGGAATAAATTATAAACTAATGACAATTCGGTTTACTCAGACAATAAGCACAATATTTTATAAATGAACAAATATAATTGTTATTAAGTGCAAATATTTACATCAAATACTTAACGTTCTTTATTTTCTCCTAATAATACCTAGGGGAAATAATTAAGATAAATATTTCTGATAGATAATTTCTAGTATTGATGGGTCTAACTCAACTTATATTACAATACAGACATATTTGATCAATTAACAGGCAACATCAATGGACTACTTTCAATGATAACACTATGCAGATATTGAAATAAAAGAATTTTGCATACTAGAGGACAAAATAATAATTTTAAAAAAAACAATCAATGGAACTGGATCGATGAAGGCCGAATCGAAAACTTATGCACTGTTGAAGCGTTGACGATACACTAATTCAAGCCTGAACTCTGCGTACAATATCGATATGTCCAACCTATCATCCTTATGTGGCCTTAATTGCCTTCTACAGTATGTTTTGGTCTTGTTGAGTTTTTTTAAATTAGTAATTTTATAATGTAACCAGCTATTATTAACTTCTAAAAATTTTTCATAATTATTATTCATAGTTTTAAAGCATGAGTCAATTGAAGCTAGACCACCATGGAAAACCTGGAAACACTGGACGGCCGTTTCGTCCTACTATGGGACTCCTCAGCAGTGCGCATCCACGAACCCGCTTTTTAACATTGTTAACTATGAAAAATACTAAATCTCCACAAAACCTCCTCTGATATTTATTATTCAGTTATTAATATGAACTTTACTTTTTTCATTTTCTTCATATCTATCCCACGGACAATCATCTTTCATAGTTCGAACCCGTAAATTATTTTCATCATTCTATTCTTCTCTAACACCTTGATTATTACGCAACCTCACTTACTATTTGAAATCTTGAATCACTTTGTGACACAATCATTTCTATCTTTCGATAGACTAATATATTTACCAAACAATTATAAATACAGATTCACAGCTTTAAAAATAATTTCATCAAAAGGAAAATTTTCTTCTCTGAATTTGCTATATTTTTATGTGATGACATAAGAGATTATCTCAATCGCCACGAAAGACTAAAACCATACCCAACGCTTAATAGATAAGCCTTCAATGTTTTCTACCTTTTAATGGTTCTCCATCTGACATTAATCAACGGGGAAAATTACCTTCAAAATATTAACTTTAGTATCTTTTTACTATTCATAAAAACATTTGTCAGTCAATAAGAACTGCTTAGTTAAGAAAGAGCTCGAAACAGGTCTGGATGTATGACCGATTGGCTGAAAACCGAGTTCTCCAATTACTTCCTCGTCTCCTCAAATGAATGATATATGCATTGAAGACAACTATACTGAGTCTATAAGATTGCTAGTATTTTACGTATTCCTTAAAACACGTAAAACCTTATTTAGTTATAATCGTTAATAATTCTTAGTACTTTTTTAGAGAAAACAAATCAATTCATTATTTTATGTATATTTTCAACAATATTGATAAGTAAAAGTCATTGAATTTACTAGAGAAATCCTACAAGGGAAACTTTCAAATTCCCTTAATTATCAGTCCCGAAAATTCCACAACTAACACTATGCCTTTGAGATGGTGGAGATTTGTAGCTCAGGTGGGTGATTTTGATGGAGTTTTGTTCTCTGATCTGTGTGGTTTGGTCGTGGAGCTTTCATCGTCAACTTCTACCCGAAGTTTGTGCTGATGATTTCGTTCAGAAGGACGATGAAAGCTTCACGACCAAACCACCCAGCTCAGAGAACAAAATTCCATCAAAATAACATTATGTTGCTTAATTCAGATGTACATATTCAATTAATAATCTAACGAACATTTTTATTAGTAAACTATAGATCTTACCGCCATCGATGTAGTTGATAATTTGAATGAACTGTAAATGATTCATTTTTAATTTGTTGAATTCGTTTTAAATGTTCTCGTTCAGATTTCATTTCATTTTCTAATTCTTTTAAACGATTCTGTTAGTTTATAGGACAGAAAATTTATATTTTGTTAACATTATTACATTTATTATAATGATTACTACGAACAAAATAATAAGTTTGTTAGTGTTGGGGTGATCGCAAAAGACATGACAAGCTCAGGAAACATTAAGTAGCATTTTATCCAATCAGCAATTGACTAGAAGTTTTGCTAGAAACATCACGAAAGTGAAAAGGCACATGTTAAGTTCCTGTTTGGCTGATTACTACACTGATACTATGTTTAGTAGCATTCCAGATTTTTCAGGAAAACTCAAGGACTTCTAAAATACTATAAAAAGCCTATATTTTTTGTGCATGAATGAACCTTTGAATTAAAGTGTTTCTCGTATATTTTGTGCCTTTTCTCTCGTGTTGAAGTTGCTGTGTAGATTCAGTTTGGGGTTTACGAGAATAGCTTAGGAACCGAGTATAACGTTTAGTTTAGCAAGACTTATCAGTTAGTTATTGGATTTAACATATACCTTCGTAAATGTAATCCAATTCACTTTTTTTAATAATTACTATATACTATATTACCTCTTCATGAAAATAATTAGTTTGCTATAAAAATATATGGATCTACAAATGGATGGATCAAAATATCGGAAATTAGAATTTGTGCACTACTGAAAAAAGGTTAATCTTAAGTTTATAGAATAAAGTAGAATAGCCTTTAAATACATTTTTATTCTCTTTCTTTTGATTCAGTTACAAAGAAATATTTTTCTAATCATCTATTGACTTAATACCAAAATGGAGATTTTCATTTTAAAGTTATGTAATGAAGTAAATGTTATTTTTTGAACAAACTTACATTAACATATGCTTCTTCAGAGTCGAAATCAGGAAGCTTGCCTGGACTTATTGAATTATTAACTTGACTTTCATTCTGTAAAAGTAACAAGAATTAAAAATCACCATCATTTTGTAATACCACAAATATTCTTGAAGATTGATTTTTTTAATATAAACTAAGCAATGGTTGAAAACGAAGGATCACTGAAGTACCATATTGGTTTAGCCTAACGTTCCTATGGAGTGCTTAAATCCATAACCTTAAACAAAACTGGACCTGAGTCATTCATTCCTTGAGGCGAGCACTAAACCACGAATTTGATGGGTTAAAATATAATAGTTTTTGTTTCTAATTTCAAACAATTTCTTAAACAATGTGCATTAACAATAATGAGGAAGAATGTGTTTGTAAAATCTCAGCAAATGAAATTGAAGTAAATCCAAAGTTTCGCCTTGCAATCTGGTCCAAGGAATCATCAAATTCATTCTCTGAGATTTTACAAATACCTTCTTCCTCTATATTATTTTACATCAATTCGGCTCTCAAATACTGTGAAACAAATCGATCAAATTTAGACAAAAGTTCTCATATAAAGTATGCATTAACAGTTTATTGTAGAATTTGAAATGAATGTACACCTTTTATCTTCAGTCTATTTTCCATACTGAGTAAAACCATCATTTACAATCGACGTTAAAAATTTAGCTAAACAATCGAATTACTTGATTTTAAAAGTCCAATTGTCTCATCAAGACAACAGAAAATTCATTTCCAAACAGATCATTAGTAATCATTTGATTAACGATGAACAATGTAGGAAATGGTATATTAATACTTTTCGATTTTAAGTAGTACTTATGTAAAAAAACAAGAGCACCAGTGAGGACAACGGAACGTATTAAGACATAAAATTACAGAATATCTCAGTAAAATATGAGAACCATATAGTAAATAATTAATTTGCAAACTATCAATCAATTGTCTCAATCTTAACTGTTTCTTCTGCAAATATCACTCTATAGTCTCCGATTATTATTGTTCATTCATTTTTATACCAATTGCGTTTCGTTCTCGTTCTTTCGTTATCAATCTTCTTTTGAAATACATTCAATACCCGACCATCGTTATATACTATTTATGTGGATACAAATAATCCACACCATAGTTATTCTAGGACATGTAACTTTATTCTGAAAATGATTATCACAGAATGAACAAAAATACATATTGTATAACGTAAAAAACAAATCTACTCTTTAGAAAAATCATACCGAAAAACAAGATATTTCAAGTTTAAAACACAGTAATATTTACATTGGGTTGATTATTTAAATCATTTTCTTTTGAACTAAGACAAATTTCGTTTAAAGGAAGATTGGTTTTGTTGATCCACAGTTTTACATTCTCTAAAGTATCAATATAACTATCCCGTTTCTGTATTAAGAAGGTAAAATGTGATAAATAATTGTTTCAAAAAAATAATAATAAATAAATGAAAAATGAATTTTAACAGATTCTAATTGTCTTATTTAAAAAATTCTCTTATTAAAGATATACTACTTAATTAGTTAATTATTTCCAAGCCTTGAATTGTTCTTGTATTCGCAGATTTGACTACATTTTAATTAACATCTTTTGTTAGATTCTTTTTTTGCTTATAACTTTTTAAACATCACGTTTCACTCGATTTGACATATATCAAAACAAGATATACTCCTCCAATGAACACCATCAACAAAAGTATAACAAGAAAAAACGCAACAGTTTGAGTAAAATTCAAGTGAGAAACTTCTAGTCTCTTGTTATCTAATCCACTAGTACCGATTAATTAAAAAAAACTCAAACAATGTATTTATTGTTATATCGATTGCGTACGTTCTTGCTCAGTTGATATATATGAACGTGGCGATTCCCACCAACGAGAGAGCAGTGAATTTATTGATCGCCCAATGATACACAAAAGCCGTATGAGCAGTCTTGAGTACTTATCAGTCCTGCTTTCTGCCTAGTCCAGCCAGTTAAGTCCAGAACACCAATAACAGCCTCTGCAATATGAATCATTATTCTCAAACATACTGGGTTTATATACCAAACAAACTGACAACATCGTACAATTAAATAGAAAATAACATTTGTACAAGGTTTTACCAAATGGGGCTGTGAATAGGGGGAACAGTAATCAAGAGACTGGGGATAACTCAAGAATGATAAATCCTATAATAATAATCTATAGGTCAAAATAAAGCTTATAATAAAAGGGACACGAATATGAATAGTTTAGCTACATAGCAATTATACAATAGGAAATATACATATCATATAGGTCCACAAATAGTTCTCAAAGTTACCTTTCATAAACCTCCACGGGATATAACATTCATATTTGACCTTACAAACATAGTTTCATTTAGAAATCTATCTACCGTCAAAAAACTATTTATGGAAAATACGTCACTCTCTTAAACATCACAACTAAAAATATAGCATTGACTTGTTGATTTTAATTACAATATCATCTGCTTATCAAACTTAATAATTTTCTAATCAAACGAGACAAAATAGTACAATCATTAGTGCGTAATTTCAATATACAACGAAAAAGCATATCAATTACAAAACAAGTGTTTATTAACTATTCTTCTTTGTAACCGTGCTTGCAAATACTAAGAAGTTTTCGTCGTGAGATGAATTGAAGTATATGATGAAAGGAAATGTATTTTGCTTAGTGTTTGGGAAGAAAAGAAGGGCTCAGTTGAAATAAATGACAAGATTGATAATTTATACAAACATTCGTTAATATTGGGACAAGTAGTTTGACAGAAATTCGGCTCTGAGTAGAGAGAAAATATTATTTGCTAAAATTATATTTGAAATAATCTCAGCAAATAAAATTTAAATAATTATAACTGATAAATGTTTTGGCTGAACTCTTGAACCAGTTTCCTAAGCTTTTCTAGTAACTTCAGGCTAAATCTACACGAAAACTTGATCTCGAGAGAAAAAGTAAGAAATGTAGAAAGAACGCCTTACTCCAAGATTCGTCTTATGCACAGAAAATTTAGGGTATCTATAGCATTTCAGCTAGCCTTGGGTGTCTGGAAAGTATTGGAAAGTATTTGATAATCTTGAGCTTTATTATTACCCTGAAGAAGTTCAGACAAGTTTGACGGACGAAACGTTGGAACTATTTAAAATTCAACTATTGAGATTGTTTCAAATAGAATTTCCACAAACAATTTCGATATTTACAATGTTTGAAATGAATTGGTCGATTACTAAATGTTTGTCAGGTTTTAGTAGTCGAATTCCATGGATAAAACTAGGCTGTGACTCAACATTGTGGTGCATGAAGTTTGATGTTAGATAGCAAAATGAAACCGATGAAAAGCGCCAAACCCAAGCTTCATGCTGTTTAGTGCTCATTCGTGAAGTGTACTCGCGATTTTCAGTGAAATGACTTTTACCATGGGATTCAGACCAGACAGAATTCAATAGGCACTAAGAAATAGAAGATGTCACACTGTCTTTTATTCAGAGACTAGTTGATGGGAACACCCCAGTCCTACAGGAAATGCCTTGTGACCCTCATAGTTTATTGTTAACGCTCTGACGCCGATACTAGATGATAATTATTTGAATTCTATTATGGGGATTCATGCTTTCTAGGATTACATGCATCTTGATGACGTATATAGAATGGACACAAAACCCATATCCACGAGTTTCTATCAGTTACCTCCAGCCATTTATTATCTAGATTCTACACCTTGGAAAATGAGGAGGTAAATATACAACAACCAAACAGAAAGAAGCCATCAGAAAGCCTAGCTCGTATTAAAGAACTCAAATACCCTGTTGGCTGATGTTAACACGATTATCATTATTATTATGCTTTCGCAAAAGCCCATAGGGCATAAAAGAACTTATACCTCTCTCTCTCTCTCTCTCTATATATATATATATATATATATATATATATATATATAAAACTGATGTTAATAAGACTTTTACTAGACAAAGTGTAAGGATGAAACTAAATCATTAACCTAATAGTAAGTACTATGACAACTAGATTATACACCATGGATTATTCTAATAGTGAAAGATAACAGAAGAGAAAGTTTGCTAACTTAAACATTTAATAGACCAAACAAATATGCAACGACAGGTTGAACTCACAGCTTTTTCATACTTCATGATTTCTTTACTCAATCGCTGATGCATAATTTCGACTTTTGATTGATTATCTATAACTATGTTCCCATTACCTGAATGAATCGAAAACACAAATAAATTTTTACTCTAATAGGGTTTCAATAATGGGTCTAGTGAGGTAGATAAATATAATACAGGGCTGTCTGAACTGAAGTTTACAGAATTAGGTTCAAAGTTGCAACTAAATGGTGGAAAATTAGCCCTTTGATCACCAAGTTATGAGTTCATGTGCTTAACTGCAGTTAATTGATAGTAATCACCAATTATCATACAGTATGATAGCCGATATGTGTCAAAATCACTTCAAAGATCAACGGACTTTTGTCAGTACATTAGTACTGGGAACTGACTCAATGATAACCAAGTTGTAAATCATTAGCTACCATGAAACATACCTTAACGACTTCTGAATTTCTAACAGTACAATCCATTTAACCATCAGAAGCACATTCACTTCACAAGATCAATGAAGATGAACATTTTTACATAGTGGATATAAAATAGCACTAATACATAAGACACTGTTTATGAATTTCGGTGTTAACCAGAAAATATCATTGTGATATTCTTAGGACAAAAACTAATTATTTTAGTTCTTCTATTCATCTCTGATAAAATATTTAACAAGTTTTGTTAACAAATTAGTATTCAACTTTAACAAACGTTTTGATCAAAAATCACAAATCACAACTTGATTTCGAATTTATTTCCTAGTACTAATACTCTTCATTGTTTTCAAGGCGAAATTTACAAAATCGTGAATCCAAAAGTCGATGATATTATATGCAATTTAGTTTTATTTAGCAAGCTAATTAGCATTTTGAGCAAATTTTCTGTTGGCGTAGTTAACATCAGTGAGTTCATAGACTGACGTTAAATTTTGATTTAACCGCCACCAGCTTTCTTCCCCCCAACTCCTGCACAGCTCATCATCTTGTATCAAGATAAGTGTTGGTCGAGCACACGTAATATATGTCCCAACCACCTCATTTGATAAAGAGCCCCAGCTGACTTGTCATCCACACTTAAAACCCTGTGGTCAACCTCAGAACTGCTCATCCTGAGGTGCCAGCATACTCGAGGAATATTCCGAAGATACGTATATTTAGATACTAGTGACCCACAAATGTTTATATTTTAAAAGATCACGTTTCGTAGCTTCAAACTGTATTCGTCCTTTGACTGACAGATGAACATCTCCTATATTCTACAGGTGGAATCAGTTGGCTGGGGTTTAATGAAAACTGAACCAAAAACACTATTTTTATTTAATCATTCTCATAGGCAGTTTACTTGCTTTAAGACAATACTTTTTCTGGATAATTCACTCAAATATTATTCATGCTGCGTACTATGTCATCAGTTTAAAATTTTAAAAATATATGCCTTAAAATGGTCCCTGAAGTAATAAAGTACAAACCCGACGATACAACTCCAGATTGTCTCGAGTGGTCGAAGATAACTTTTGGAAATGTCAATGACTAATAAATCAACCTCAGTTTACGTATGTTTTACGAGATTTTCTGCTATTTCGAACATATAAATAATGTAATGTGTCCGCTCTCCATCCATTATAATAACAATATAATAATAATAATATCAGTTTAAACTTCCTGTTAGAGTTCAGTTCATTTTTAACAGACTAATTATCAGATTTAATTTCGACCAAGCGCGTGAGAATTGAACTTAGGGCCTTCTATCTCGCGCGCGAACTCTTAACTTTGATTTCTCACTATCATCTACATTCAAGGGTTCTCTGGAATAACGAAAGAACGTCTTCTCATTAAAAACACAGATTACCTGACATAATAGATGGTTTTACTGGGAATGTAGTTTGGTGAACTCCCAGAATATCTTTGTTGTATGACTTATTAGAGGGATCGGAGGTTGCTTCTAAAATATATTCGTCCAACTCCATATTTGCTTGATTATCTTCTTCAGGTTCATTGTTGTTTTTCAAATCATCCATAGTCTTATATGATAAAATAGTTAATGAAATGTGTTATATACAATTATCATAAGCATTAACTTACAGATGTAATGTAAGTCAATGGAAATTTATGAATTTACTTAAACTGTATACCCTACCGCAGTAATAAGTGGTATATTTTTTAACAACTTGGGCTAACAAAAGACGTTATTTGATCAAACTTTTGTAACGTGCACAGACCATTTACTCTACGCCATAGTGTTAAAGTAAGCATTATTATCAAAGAGTGCGGTGAAATGATAAAATTTAAAATTTGATATGTGTTCAAAAGATTCGTTTCTCAGTTATACCACAAAATTAAACAAAACTGAATCATTATGGTTTAATTAAAGCGCATCAAAGCAGAATTTACTCAAAGTTTTCCTTTACCAAAAGACTTAACGTCTAGATAAATCTTGTTTCAGTTTCTTTAAAACATTCGGTGAATTTTAAACAGACCTGTGGGTTACTAATTAAACAAACATAACGCTCACAGTTTTCAGGATATTTATGACGTTCATACATATCTACACTGACAGTCTGCTCAGTTAATCAAACTACGTTTTAATTTTTCAATAATCATTGTAAATTTCCCAACTAACAACGTATGTGTAAATTATTTCATAAAAAAACTTTATTACAAGTTAATTAAGCGAAATTAAAAGTTTTTAACCTAAACAATATCAAATACATGCATGAATTTTTGATAAAACTAAATTTCTAAGGTATAAATGAACTAACTCACGTTTAAATAATCTTCGTACTTCAAGCCAGCCTTTTCTAATGCCTTTAACAGTTCCCCAAGATACAAAAACTCTGTTGAAGGATTTTTTCCAGAACACATTGAATTTCCAAATTTTGCATGGTCATTTAAATCAAACTCATTAAAAGGAGCGATCATTTCTTTTTCTTGATTTTTGAGGTTTTGAAGAAAATATCCAAATTTTCTAGGTTCATCTATTATCAACCTATTGATAGATGACGAACCACATAACTAAAAGACAAAAAGTAGGAATTTTTCCTTGATCAAATAGTTGAATTCACGTTTATTTAGTTGTATTTTCAAAACAAATATATAAAACTTAGTAAGCAACTTTTCAGAAAACCTTTCAAGATGTCGTTATTTAGTGTAGCACTTAGATAGGAAATTACAACAAAAAATTCCAATAAAATGACATTTATTATCACCATAGTATATTTTTCCAGTCTTTCGGCCGAGACATTCTTAATCAGTCTTAATTATAGTCTACTAGTAAATCTCTATATTAGTTTATATCAGGTTAATACGACCTGATGAAACAGTTTGGTTGACAAGGCCTAAACAGCTGCATATTTTTTTTATAAGTCAGTTTACTCTCCTATTTGCTGAGTAAGATCAATCTTCAACCCAATATCATCCGATATTAGTTATGAGGATCTCTTAATTTGTTAGTTTATCAGGCGCAATAAGATTTACTAAGTAAGGTCCTCATCCAGTAATACGATGGTAGGAAGTTGTACTATGACATAAGCATAGTTCTTAGGAAGTATACCGAAATGCATCTCCTACCACTAGAGCTCTTCGTTAACACTTGTTAGATTAATAGATTGTCTTGATATTATCAAATCTTTGTTCATAATGTTTTACTGTCACGCAGTAACTGGAATTACACTCAAGCACTTTTAGGATTGATGAAGCTGCATAAAAATGTTTCATCACTGTGGCAAAATACTAAATTTTTGACCTGAATGTTAGTAAACCCGAAATTAGATAGTAATTACTCTGGCCAAAATTTCTCGCAGTATAGGTTCAAATACAACAAAATGACTAATATGAGAACAAAAACATTGGTTCATTAAGTGTAAGATACTGCACTATTAGAGCTAAACTAGAAAGCCGAGTACACAAGGCATAAGTACGTACTAACTAAGAGGTTTCAGATGACTGAATATCCGTCACAATATCAAGTTGTCCTTCAAAGAACAACATGGTGTTTTTATGGTGTTTAAAACATAACATAAATATTTTTCCGATTACGAATCAAAGCTACACAATTAAAACTGAAGTTTGGACTATCCTGTGCTAACAGTTAGACTCTTAGATCATAGAAGTACTTGATTATTCTATGCACTGTATTTTAAAATCATGTTTGTTTCCTAAGAAAATATAAGTATTAATGACAAGGTTTGATACGATAGTTTAGAATAAATTGAGCATTAGGTAGAAAGTTGATGATGAACATTTTTTTATAACCCAATGAGTAGAAAACCGTATTTCTGATGTTTCGTGTTTTAATGTAAGCCACGTTTCAGTGGACAACACAAACTTCACATAAAACATAACTAAATTAGGGGACTCTTCACGTATATTCGTAGTATAAACTCGATTTTGCAAGCGTTTAAATAATTAAATATATTCTTAATAATTAACTACCGTATTTTTAATACATTTTACTCACAAAAGTCTTAAAAGTTAAAAACTTGCCTCATCAGAATACATTGTTTTTGTATCCGTCCTTTGAACTAAAGACTTTTTTGAGACACTTTGATTAAAAGGAACGGAAGGATCGATTTTCAAAGAAAATCAGCCACGAGTCTAATAATCGGTCGTACAGCTGTATCCACTAGGTATCCGAAAATGACTAAAAAGATGTTACCAGGGAATGAAATTTCAGTAAAATTAGTTTACACACCAAAGAAGATATATTTTGTCCGTAATTCACTCTTAAATAAATATTTAAGCAAAGAATATCTTTGAACTAATTCAATCATTGATACCAATCGTCGTTAGTTTCCACTTAATCGTTAAACAACGTGTTAATGCTAGTGGTCAAAGCTGAAGAACATTTTCAACGACACATCACAAACTTTAAATTAATGATTTGAAAGTACTTCTACCTACGTCTTAACAAAAATGGCAATTCAAACTAACGATCATTAACAATCACTTGTTTAGATTTTCCGTATTTTTTAACGGAAGACTTCTAAGGCATTATTCTTCTATTAAGGAATCCATTCAAAAAGTCAGTTTTAAGAAACAAGTACATACTACTAAACTTTATGACAGCACGAAAGTTGTCATTTCAAATACCAAGTAAAGATTTTAGAAGTAATTACCTCTAACTACCCTTTAACTCTGTAAGCTTGCATAGACACGTGGTCTACACATTCTTTTTTATATTAAGGGGAATACTTTACTACGTTTACTGTTATCTAGTTTGAGATATACATAAATATCTTTCATCACTGAACTCAGTATAAAGTATGTGCAGAAAGTAGGTGAGTGTTTAGTCTATCACAACAAGAAAAACGACAGCAATTATTCCATTATATTATCTCGAAGAGATAAAGGATGTATGTTATCCTGAACTACTATGTAAATAATAAAAAGCCGCGGCAAAACAAAAGTTGAAAGCAATCGCAGGAAAACTAACGCAATCAAGGAGGCAAAAAGTATTCTTAACCAACTACAAAGTGTATTCTCTACAAACAGTAAACTATCGAAAAGAAAGTATATATACATAAACTTATATATTCATCCTAAGACAAACTTTATTTCTCCCTAAGTGACTATATCATAAGATAAATAGAAATGCGGCTAACAATTTTGTTAAACCAGGTGAGAGCATAGAGGGCATCATCATGCGCATGAGTCTGTCTAGCTTTGAGAAATTACAATTTTTCAACATACTGCTTGAACGTAATCATATTCTGAAGAATGACTCACAAGTACAATTTTGGAGACTTCTCTGTCCGCTATATAGTTCTCGATTACACAATATCTTATTTTACGATACTAATTTTATCAAACACGAAAACGAAAAGTAACACTTTTACATGTGGATGCAATAACCTAGCAACTGTTCAAGGACACATCCAATATCCACTGTCCATATATATATATATATATATATATATATATAACAAAGCATCTGATTTTTCTTGGGATCTATAGTTGTGTACAAAATTCGGAATCAAGAGGATAAGAGGGAAAAGGTAGTTGATGATAAGAGACTGCAGCGGTAAATAATTCCCCAAAATCAATAGCTTATTAAGTGTTCGACATTGGATGCTGACCACGTTGTTTAAGTGGACTTGTTTAGCTGAAGGCTTTCGGTCATACATCCATACCAGATCACGTTGCAACACGGCGTGGGACACAGCTCCTACGTTACAATAGCCAGTTAAGAACGAAGTCTCTCGATATATTGGTAACGAATCAAATATATCTTTCCTGTCTCTCCTCGTCTGACTTCTGGTTTCTATTCGACTCGAAACGAACGATTATAGAAGATACTACTGGTTTCTAGTTGCCAAAACTAGAATGTCCGTTGTATCCTCAAGACGAAGGAAATAGTTACTGATATGTAGTAATGATAACCGTGGTCATTTATGAGACATGAATCAAACACACCTTGTAAGGGGGGAAATAGTTTCCATGGGTGAGTACATGTTTTTCAAGTTTACCGTTAAAGCCATTTACTGATGGAGCTGTGGTTGCTTCTGCTGGGACAGCATTTAAAGTGAAGACAACTCCCAGCTAGAAAATATACGAACTTACCTAGGTGTTTAATCTTTATGTGCAATCTTTCGAGGGTTCCCTCGGGGAGCGTAGTGATCTAGTAATGTGCTCGTGTTATGGTTGCTTGGGGTACCTACTATATTGTATACCACTATCAGATTACCTCTGTTCCTCCCCTATCTCAACGAGAACAATCTCAAGTTTTTGAACCTGTTTTCGTAATATTTATATTTTGAGCTCTTCACCAACTTCTTTTCCCGCCTCTGTACTCGTTTTACGAGACATGCACCTCTTTCAGAGAGAGAGAGTGTAACGACATGGTTGACTTGACATTACAAACAGTTTTAGAAACAACTCTGTGTCGACTGCGCTAAGCTGTCTTCTCGGGAGTCAATGTAAGATTGTTCCTCGCGCAATCCTGACGTTGAGATCTTTCAACGTTCGTGCGCGTTATTTGCCATGGTACGAAATATTCTACCCTCTAGGTTGTTTTGGAGCCAGGATCAAAGTGTGTTAGTTAAACCGACCTTTGTAGCCTATGTCATGACAAGCATATTAAGCACTATATCAAATATTTATCGCTGCGGACTTTAGAGTCGCATCTGTTTCTTAGTGCAGAGTAGCAGCTACGATCCAATCACTTTATGTAAACGTTCCATTTGTGCCAGGCTCTACGTTTGGGTAGTAGAAAGCGTTTCATGCCTCGCCTAACCAAGGATCTTTGTTTTCCAGATGTGTGCTTACCCTAAGGTAACTGTGTTGTGCCGTATTATAAGTGATATTTCTCAAAACCTCCAACCTTACATCCACTGTTTGGCCCCCATAGCTCTTTTGACCGTTAAGCTTGTTGTAGATCCTTCACCAAGATTGTGCTGTCTGCCTTAGTATAGCTAGGAAAGAAGGCATCCTCATCCATTCCAAGTACCTCGTTTATAATCTCGTGTAACACAGCTGTACCATGTTCAACTAAGAGCTGATCACTTGTCAGTGGATAATCTAAGTTTAAGGGATTTCCATCCATCTCCCTATTCGTGACAGTACCCACTTTCTTTACAGCAGCATCTGTCCTCAAGGTATTAAGCAGACTTTTGTCTTAAGCGTGTTATTCGGTTTCATGAGAACTTCCTTCTGCATGTTTGCTGCCTGCATAGTGTATCCTATTAGAGGGACAGGGGTCTGTATGCTCTGCACCGTGGGTTGCTGATGATAGTCAATCAATACCAACGTGTATAGTTGGGCGTTTTTACTGTTGTCATATTGATCTAGGTCAGCTTTCATATGTGATGTGACTGAAGTGATTGATATTCGAGCTGTAACAGGTCAAGTATTCTTTGTTCCAGAAATTCACAGACACCAGACTCTGGGACATATTAGTTGTGGGGTGTGACTGACTAGATAGATCGGACACTAATTAGTGGTGTGAAGGCCCATGCTAAATGACATCCAACACCACTGTTGCTTATAGTGTTCGTGAGCTTCACTCCGACTACCACATAATAGCTCAGGCACTCCATGAAGCACCATCGGGGCTGGTTACCGGGTGTTTGCTGATTTTCTGGTGACATTCCTTATGACTTAACTCGGACTTGAGAAGATTGCTTAACTTATAGCCTTTCTGATATCCATAAAATTTCTTCTGTAGCCTACTCTGAGTCCAAAGTTACCCTCAGTGAGGGGTATACCTTTCGCTATGTTTTGGCTCTTATCCAGGGGGCATAGCTGAGCTAAAGTGATATCATTTCCTAGAATTGCACGGTGTTCGTCCGATTGTTTTTTATCAAATACTGCACTATTTTCTAATAAGCTTCTCTCAGACACTGGGATACTAAATAAAATCAGGGAGTTTTGTCGGACGTCATTACCCCTCCACACCTATGCTTATGACATTTCCTTCCCCGAAGCTGACTCACTGCTCCACACCGGTTAAATACACTTGGGTAATAACAACAGCAAGTAATTTTGATTCCGCATAAGCTCGAATAGTTGCTTCCATAGTCGCGTATTCGTTCGAGCATGTGCTTGATGATTGGGATATATTGATGGGGATCGATATTATTGCTTCCAATGGCATAATATACTTCATTTTTGTTAGTTACGCTGGTGTGTTTTCTATGCACTGTAGACAAATTTATCAGAACCACAAAGAAAGGTGACCTAACATGAATCTGTGGTGTTGCATTATCACAGACACAGTGAACACAACCACTACAGAAATTACATCCATATGCTGTGTTCAGGCGACATGTAACAGTAGATGAAGTAATAAAAAGTAAATATTTAACCAAGAGCGAATAATAAAGGCCTTGATGAGGAATACTAAATAACCTAGTGTGTGGTTGAAAAGAGACCGAAACGAAGGTTAAAATACAAGACAGAGAGAACTAACAAATACATGGCAGTACTGCGCAGTGAAATGCTGTGAAGGGATTTTCAGTGGTTTCTTTCCGTTACAATACTTTTGTTTATTCCATTACAACACACCAATCATTATCCAGGGTTTGCATCCAAATGACTTCTTGCTCCTTTGTTTTTTAAGAGCACAACGTTCTCAATGCACAGATACGGAGCTCCTTACTCCTGAAACAAAGGCGAAACAAAACGTACATCTTTTAAGGTTACAGTACATGCCAAACACCTTTTATATTTACTTTGTAACAACCCTAAACTCTTTAGAAATTTGTATTTCATGAATATTTGGCAACATCATAGTTCTAACACAGGAACACCATGTTTGAACCCGATAAGCGTTTCTTAAGACCACTAAATGGGTGCGATGCCATTTTTAAAACATATGGTACAGTACTAACGTATAAATCCAGCGATTTACTCGCATGCGCATGTGTACGAATACGTTGTCTTTTAATATTATTGGTTTTGTCTATCTAAAAACCATACATGAGAAGAATTCCCTGCGTAAATCAACATTAAAAATTATAGAAATCGTCTGTGAAAGCGGCGTGCATCTGCTCTGTCATAAATATGTATTATCTATAATTTATTTACTGGTTTTAGATTTGACCGCACTTGGTAATTTAGCGCAGTATATCACAGTAATTCATATACATGCAATAATACGCTATCGGAAGTATGACAGATTACGGGCAAGACCATATGTTACATATGGTACGGGGTTCGCTGTGATACGTTACTCAGGTAGATGCGTAACATTTGCGTAGACAAGAAGTTGAATAATGTTAGGATTAATCATAATACGTATCACATGTGTGCCATTCTTACGGACAAAATCAACAATACATAGAGTGGATTAAAGGATAAGGTGTTACCAGAGTAAGGTCGTACGGTATGTGACGACAGTAAACACTCTTGACAGAATAGACAAAGACAACAAAAATGTTGTGCCCCACGAACATGGGTAAATTGGGACCATCGCCCTAATCATCGATTTCTACTGGCCAGTAACTCCACACTCCATTCTATTTTTATGTCAAGCTCTCTCAAGTTGTTGGTCAGATCGCAGTCATGCCTCGCCTACAAGCTCCATGTTCCACACCCTATTAGAAAACACCAATTCTTTAAGCACCCTAATCAAGCATATCAGACAGCCAAAGTTCGTAGACTGTTTTTGGAGCATCGAAACAATAGTAGCATAGGATAAACCATGGACTTCAAAACAAAATAAGTTCACACTGACAAACTAGTAAGTAAAAGAGCCATTGAATCTGATAAACTTAAGGCAATCAGTCAAGCTACAAAAGCAAATGGTTGAACGCTAACATTTACGGTAAAAGCACAAAAGTGGTAAGGAATAAATGAGGAGGTACTCACATCGTTATGGTTGGTAGTGGTTTTTCTGTACACCTGATTTTCCAGCCGAGTAGTCTATAGTTACTGCGAGCTATATTCAGTCGTGGTCCGAATGTTCATGACACCATCAATGGTTGAGGGGCTTGTTGTAGAGGTCAAAACGGTACACTGGATAGATAGTTGTGAACCCTCAGAATACCCAGCGGCAACCTTCTCGGAACAGTATTCCATGATGAAGACTTGAAATTAATTTATGCTCTATCTAATTTACGTAAATAGTGTAGCACTTGATGCTCTCAGAGACAACATTAAGGACAGAAAACAACTCACCTCCCTGCTGACTACCAAAGCGTAAAGTGAACGAGTGGTTTTACAATAAATGTCTGCCAAAAATTCAGTTGCTGTTGATGGAAAACTACCAAAAAATAACGTTGATTAGTGATGCCTAAAATTTAATGGTGTCTCCTCTAGCATTCTGTTCAAACTATGAAGATAGTTAAATGCCAGTTAAGACCCTCAACAGAACCAGGGTTATCAACGGGGAAGATATTGATAACGAAGATCAGGACCTTGACACAACCTAATGACAAGCAATGGTGCTAATACCATAGCCTCCTCAAAAAGCCACTTGATTCACTCCAGCAGGCTGAGTGTGTGAATTTGTATCGCAGTTACTTATAAAGTTTATATTAATTACATCTAGCGACTTCCGATCATCTACAGAGCCGGCTTAGTTTTAATTCCAGCCAGTTGTACATCGTTTTGATCAAACGTTTTTCCTACTCCGTTTCTTAATCCTTAATGAAGTTTAACTTTTTGGTATGATCATAATTGTTAAAATATTTTTTCGAAGAGTTTCATAATTAAATTCATCAAACTAGTTGAATCACGATCTTGTGGTTTCTTTCTAGTTCCAGTTCTGTCGATAGAAGGTGCTGCGGTATCATGCCATCGTAGTGGTAGAATACCGTTTGTTCGTGACAGTTCGGACACTGTTACGAGGACTGAAGTTACGGGTGCTTCTAATTGTTTGGCTAACTTGGTGCGTACCACACTCATTCTTACTGACACTACATTTTAGTTTACAGCGCTAGCAAAACACCTGTTATCTTCAGTTCTTATTATTACGGTGTTCACGAATGTGCGCTTGTCCCCCCCAACTAACCTGGGTACCTGTTGTTGCGTTTTCAATGGATCAACTATTAAAGCGTTATCAAATACTGTATAGAGCTGATACCATATACTCAGATTCATAACATGATGTAAAACATGCTAAAGATAATAGGAAGACGTCAGGTAGAAGTTGTATTAAGGTGACCGAAATGTTATTTTAAAGTCTACAATACCTTTCATGATCCCAACAGAAACCGAAGAATTTGAAAGTTTTCCCCTGAAGGATATGGTTTCAAAGTCAAAACATTGTTCATAGTGAAACAGTCTAAGAGGATCATCGCCACCTGAGTAATAAGTGCTAGGAATTCAATGATTCACGATATCAACCTTTTCAGAGTCCTGTTATAAGGCTCTGTAAGGCCAATAGGTTAAAAACACACATAATAGAACTCGTAAAGGATCACTAAATATGGCCTTCAAAATGCTCGCTTCGTAGACATGCAGATATTGACTAATATACTTATTTAGTCCATAAAGTTTTTCACCTGGCTGGTGCGCAACTTTCCTCTGTCCATACCGATGAAGGGAATCTATTACTATTATTCGATTTCTATCAGTTGTTTGTTCATATGAACTGATTTGTTTAAACTACTTTCGGAAGCATGGCACATCATGAATAGTAGTGAACTTCAAGAACAATGACTCGTTGTAGTCCATGAATCTCTAGTAGGCAACTGACAAAGGTGGCAAAACATGAGATCTTCGTGAGGGTTTATCAACCTACTAACTAGTGAAAAATCTTAAAAGTGTATATGGTTGCTTACCAGTCGTGAAATTAAATAAACAATTTGACGTGCTTTATAACTATTAACCAGTGACAAATTCTACAACTGCCAAGGAATTCGGGCATCGAAACGCCTAGATTTACTGCCTGAAGCTGTTAATGTGTTTTAATATGCTTGAAATCACATCAATATACGGAATAAACAAAGTTCTCAAAACTTCAGATATCGTTTTAAACTTGCCTGTAAACTGCCGTATTCTGAAAGTGACATATGTGATTATTTCTTACAGATCAATTTCTCTGTACCGTAACGACCTGATTTTAGGAAGGATCATCCTTGTATTACAAATTTATTGACGGCAGAGGGGAATTAGATGAAGAACGCTGATCCTAAGGATAAAGTAGATATCATATATGCTAACTTTGTGAAAGCTTCTGAGAAGTTCATTCACGATCATCTCGTCACCAAGTGTAAAGAGGTAGATATTCAGATGTTTTCACATTTGGGCTGTTTAAAGTCAGAATGAATATTCGGTCTCTTGAAGTAAACTATGTTTCAGATTTTCAGAGTCTGACATGAGTATCCTTTGGATGTTTCAGTCTGCACGAACGATCGTCTGCCTTCCAAAGTATCTCTCTACAGTTAATGTTAGGTCTTGAAGAGAAGTCCACAATCAGATATGTGGTTATTGCTTCAGAAGGATAAGGTTCGACTTTAAAGTTATGGAGATGACAGTAGAGTAATTTAAAACTCTGAAAAGACAGAAAGTAGTTCATTTTCACTATGGTTCAAAGAACAAACGGGAATAATCAATTTTCCATCAAATTTGTCACAATTAGGAAAAGGCTTAGGTATCTCTGTTGTCAACGATCTTAAGTAATATGCCGATTGCAATAGATATTTTGAACATCTCTGAGATCCCTTCAAAACACTAATGTCAATGTCAGAAGTCGGATTAAAGATATATTTACCAAACATAAAGAGTAATAAATCCTTGAAATCCTCTACAGTCTAAAGTGATTCAAGTATCTCTCGTAGAGTTCTTAGGCAAGGGACCAGGGGCTTGAATAAATATTATGGGTTGGGGGGTAGGTAATTTCGTTTTACCAGTTTACATTTGTTCACGTCTTACACTAGTTATCCATTGCTACTAAATAGTGAGGTTAGTTTAATCCACAAGAATCTGAAACCAACTGAATCCATTTTTCTCATGAAGGAGCAGCATTTAAAATAAAAGCTAGATTTCGACTTAAAGAACACGTGATTAATCAGATGATGGCACTTCAGATGTCATATTTCTACGATTATTTTCTTAATGACTAGGATCATAGCTAAACAATACCATTTTTAAAGTATTACCCAAGTGTCGTCAAAGGAGCAGAAGAAGAGGATGAGGGAAATTTTATCCCAACCAGATGGTTGAAGAAACAAAAAAAAGATTTCCTTTTCTATTTTTTTTGTTCAACATCGAATTTTAACACTAGCTCAAGGACATTACCGGCGCACATCTAAACAGATGTGGGCAGGGGTTGGTTTTGTTTTTTAATTCAGTCATCCGAAATGGTCTTCTTTCAAAGTTTTATTGTCAATCCTGTATTCAGTTTTACAATGATTTATATTGTCCTGACAGATAATTTCCGTCCACGTTTTGGAATGTGACGTCAATTAGAACCATTTTACATCAGAATATGTAGATGACTATATTTACCTGTCTGTTATTAAACCGTCGTAGCAAAAGTCATGTAAGTAAGCAGTGACTAGTCTTGTCATTGCCTCAATTCGTATTTTAGGATTCGTCACCTTTAGACTGTAAGTGCCTTGTTAAGTTTCGCAATCTTGCTACTAAAATAACACCACTCTCCATATAAGAATCGTCTCTACATCTCTTATCGAGTGCTCATGTAAACAGCCTGTTAGTTCACTTTTACGCCTGATTTATGCCTGATTAGTCGTTTTGATTAACCAGTTCCACAGGAAGTTGGATATGAAATCTAACAACTGAATCTCCCCTGATAACGCTCACATTTAAAAACCCTTATTTATTCTAGAAACTGTGCGGGTGGTCATGTACAAAGTGACTACCGTTTCCAGCTAGGTTGCTTTCTAATGATTTTGTATGTACAAACCTGTGTGGTAGTAGCTCTGATTCCAAGTCACAAAGGATGGTGCATGATCGATGCAAATATAACTATCTTACAGTTCGTCGCTGTCAACTTCGGTCAGGATTCGTTTCACCTTTAAATTTGTCAGATGGAAAATCTAATTTTGTTTATTGAGGCTTTTTCCCACGTTTTCGTGTACATGCTGAATAGCACATGTACTAAAAATTGTACAGATTCGAAATGCAACTCGTTGATCCCGACATTTTTAGTTTTGCACTCTTCAATCGTGTGTAACAACTATGTATCCTGCGGCCTAAAATTGTGGGCCTCCGACTTTCCGATATTTTGATTAGTTCGATTCTCAATTCGTTTTAAAATGTGTCACCAATTTGACTACTTATTATGGCAAGGACCTCGATTTGGTGTATATACTCACACAGTTTGCAAAATATTTATTACTTTGCTAGTGAAAGTACTATAAGCTTGTGAATGCACTAGTGTAGAACAAAAATATCGATTGTTTGAGGCAAGGTAGGGAAAAAATACATTTAGGGCGAATGACTAAGCTAATCTACGTTGTCTTAGATTTTAAGTACGCTTACTATTTTGATTTCGTCGTGCTAAAGTCTCCTGTTGACATTTGAGTCGTGCAGTCTGTAAAAGATCCATTTATGTTTTAGTCATTAATGCTTTTGTTAGACATTAGTATATTTGTGTTAAATACACTTTCAAAATTTATTTGTTTGTCGTAATTTCTTTTCAGCAAAACATCAACTATAATCCAAATGAGCCAACTGAAGACCTTAAAGCATTTGAGCGTCGTCTTCGTGAAATTATCAATGGTTTAGGTCCGAAAGCATTTAAGTGGCGAATTGTCCTGTCTGTAGCTGTACTTATACTCTTATGTTCATCATATTGTTGGCTTGTCGACCCTATCACATACCAAGCCGGTTTTATCGGTTCCTTGCAAAAACATCCAGAATTTGTATTAAGTCTTTTGTTCCTCATGGCTCTCTTTTTTTTGGGAGCACATAAAAAAGTCGTTTTGCCTAGTATCATTGCTCATCGCAGCCGAATTGTTTTGGCAGAATATAATATGGCATGTGATAATTCTGGGAAGCTCATTTTAAGACCTAAACCTAATCTCTAATAAACTATGTATAAATGCGTCGTGTACATAATGTATAAAAATCAGCCGTTAAGTCTTTCATTATAGTTTGCTTCGGACTATATGGATATATGTAGTCGTACTGAATAATGGTCAGTCAACGGATGAAAAGGAACAATTAAATCCAGATTTTCAAGTTTATTATATCAATATTCGTGTTATGAAGATTCCCGGAGTATAAAATTCATATTTACACTGTTTCGTAAGCTATTCTTGGGATTCTCCCCACTTTTTTTCAAACGTGCCAAATTATGTGATTACTCTCATCAAAAGATTGACAAATGAAAAGCTTAATGTTGATTCATTTGTACCACTGATTACTAGGAAATATATTTTTCAGAATTTGTCTTTATGCTGTTTTTTGTTCAATTCATTAATTACTTTTATGTGATTTGAGGAAATGAATTGCTTACTAGCCAACCAAACTTTTATCCCTAAAGGTTATTTATCATAAACCTCCTTGTTGTGTGATCCTATCCAATGAGCATACTTCATTCTACTTGTAAATTTGTAGAAGGCAGCAGTCTTGTGCACAGTTAAACGCAAACGTATAGAGTCTAGAATTAGTGCGATTACAAAGAGGGTTTGTAACGGCTTAACTCGGGAGGAGCGTGGTTCAAACCCTGGACTCAAAGATTGAAAATGGAGTGCTATAACTACACGCAATTGAACCGCCTTACAATTTTCGGCGGTACAGTCATATTGTAAATAAGTTGTGACAAACTAGTTGTTCCATTACTCTGAAATAAAACCATTTGTATCATCTTCAAAAATCTATGTTTTGTATACGACATTTATTGTGAAGGGATTCTGTCAATCCTATCATCAAGATTTGCTGTTGTCATACTCTGCACATTATACAGATGTTTATAAGATTGATCGATGAGTAGAAAGTCATGCATCATTTGCCGTCTTAACATGTGGTGACCTGCAAATTATCCAGATCGCAATCATTTTGGGTTCAGCGCCCCATAGTTTACCATACCTCAAGCTGTAATAGACCGGTATATATTTGCTCAAAAAAAGTAAGTTGTCTCGTTAGACTAACTTTCCAAACCAACGTTTCGGATATACTAATTTCGTGGGTAGGTATCAGTCTGACTGCCCAGGAACACCTATATAGAGGTAATTACATGACTCGTAGTTGTTTACAGGATCTATTGATTATAGTTTTGATCAGTCAAATTAACATACCCCACTATCACAGAGCGATCAAATTGTCAGTCTAAATCCCAGAATAGTAGAGGAAGTAACACTATCAGTGGTAAGTATTAGGAAAGAATAGGCATCAAAGATATGATTCGAGGAAACACAAATCAGTCAGTTGAAAACAAAAGTTATGAGGAATTTAGAATCTTAGGATTCGGGGAAGGTAAAGAACCGATATACCTACACCATTACAAATGATTTTGAGCCATGTCATATAAAGTCTGTAACCATCGGTTACTATAATTTCGCCGACTCCAGGTAATCCACACCTAGTAACATGGCCAACTTCAATTGTTAGTGACTTCATGAACTGACCCCATGTCTTGCCACCGCTAGCTTTCTTCCAGCCTACTCCAACATCAGAAAGATAATCTCTCGTCGAGGTAGGCGTATGTAACACATCCCAACCACCTCAGTTGATAGAGATTTACTAACTCTAATCGATTGGCTATCCTTACGTTGTACTCCATTCCTAACCTAGGCATTACTCAGTGGTTCTAAAATACACTAGCAGTGCTTCGAAGACATGTTAGTATACCAGTAACCTAGGTATATCTTCCATTTTTAATGGCCACGTTTCACATCCATAAAGTAGAAGGGAGCGGACTGCTGAGCAGTAAACTCGTTTTGTGCTTGAAAGATGCATATCTGGTCCACATCAAAAGTGACACTAATTGGCAAACGTCAATCGAGCCTTTCGATTCCATTCCGAGATGTCGTCAGACATTCAGGACTGATGGGACTGCCAAAATAAGTGGAGCGATCAGTGGGTTCACCTTCTTTACTCCCTATCATTAATTTAGGTATTGAACTGAAGCAATCTCGAAGCGACATTTTACATCCTGACGGAGAGAACTGCATCCCAAACATGCTTGCATTATTGCTGAAGATGATCAAAAGACTGTTTTGTCAGCGTCTTTACCAAACAGAACTAAATTATCTGCGTATTCTAATTCAACAAGTGAATCTCCCGCTAAAAGATCAATCCCTGAAAAGTCAGACGATGTAAGTGTTATCTCTAAGAGCATGTCTATGACAAAGTTGAATGAAAATGAGGAAAGCGAACAACCTTGACAAAGACCACTTGAAGTAACTAATTCCAATGACAGTTCGTCGTAAGCTCTGAATCGATCAGTATTGTTCGAGTAGAGAGCCTGTATAAGGTTAATTTACTTTAGGATGCTTTACAATGGCAGACACTCACAAAGCTTCACGATTAAGGGAGCCGAACACCATCTTAAGGTCAAAGAATGCAACTATAGTAGTGTTGGGATGATCCTGAAAATTTCTCGCAATAGACATGACAAGCTCAGGAAACATTAAGAAGCATTTTATCCAAACAGCGTTTGATGGAAAGTTTTGCTAGAAATATCGCGAAAATAAAAAGTCACATGTAGAGTTTCTGATTGACTGATACTCTGTTTAGTAGTATTCTAGAATTTTCAGGAAAACCCAAGGACTTCTAAAATACTATAAAAACCCTATATTTTCTGTATATGAGTGAACCTTTGAAGTAAAGTGTTTCTCGTATGTTTTGCGTCTTTTCTCTCGTGTTCAAGTTGCTGTGTAGATTAAGCTTGTTGTCTACGAGACTTGCTTAGGATCCCAGTATAGCATTCAATCATCAAGATTTTTCAAATAGGATGTCGAGAAGTATGTACATGTTCCACAATCTGCCAGAGAGTGAATCTTTGGTCTGTACAGTCACGTCCAGGTCTGAAACCAGCCTTGTTTTCTTGGGTTTGCTCTTTACGAGCTCTACTTAAACATATATATTGTGCAACTTTGTCACAAAACTTGTTTGCCTCGACTGACACATTGTGTGGTACTATCTTTTAATATAGGTGGTATGAAATTAGTTTATCGGACTCGTAACATCTCCTATAGGTTCTTTGTCATGGAAGTTTACATTTAGTCAAGGGTGTTACATATGAGATAATTTCTGACTTTTGTCCAGTAAATTTAGGATTAAAAGCATGGTTGTGGGAAGCAAAGACACTAAGAATGTAGTCTTTGAACGTATTAAAAGGAGATTTCACCATATCTTTCTAGTATTTTGAGTCAGCTAAATATATGACAACGGAAGAAAGTGACAAAAGCTGTAGAGGTTCGTACAAATAGTAAAACCGAACAAATTGGTGTAACTGATTATTGGATCCAAATCGCATATGTTGTTAGCTCTACTACTCCAAAATACTGTTGAAATCTGAGCGCTGTTATAGAGGTACGTTTGATATTCACTAAATTTAGCCTATTTTAACATTAATGAAAAGTCTAATAGAATAGAAAGAGGAGTAACGCAAGATGCATTGGACTGCTTTGCTCTATAAAATTGCTGAATTAAGTATGTCGGTAGTGAGCAATCTAATGAGGACTTTTATTTCCTAGTCGACATTTCAGAAGCATCAAGTACATAGTAGAGTAATATATTAAACAATAAACCAGAGTAAAATCGTGTTTACAATGTTTGATGTGAATATTAACATCTTGCCTGCCTTGGGACTAAGTTTTTGGTATGAGAAACATCCCTGAATGTTTAATCGGAAATTAGCCACTGCTTTTTGAAATAATGGTTGAGTAATGGAGAGTGTGGAAAACCGCAAACTTTTACTGGTTCCTTGATAGCTGTAATGCTTAGATTATAGCCCCCAAATGCCCTGGTACGGCCGAGAGTGGGGAGAGTCCGCTCTCCTTCTCGAAATGCTCTCACATGGCCACGCGAATATATAGCCTCTGTCAGGGAAGTCCTACTCACTGCCTTCTCGTGGCGGGGGTGTTGTTTGCGAAAGTGAGAGGACGAAGAGCGAATGTCCGGCGCTTTAACCGGGTTGGTGGACATGGAGGGTCCACCTAGGGGAGTTGGAAAACCCTGATTCCAAACCAATGGTGCACATGGGCTCCAGGATCCTGATGGAACGAATGGCGTATGAACCTATTGTTGATCACCGGCTACCATTGGACTGCATCTCCTCACGATGCTCCACTGCCTTGTGGATCAGACCTTTAGGTCAAAGGCTCGGGGTGTGGCTCCCTAAGAAAACCACCTGCTTCACTCTGGGCACCTGGGCAGTATTTCAGCCCTCATACAAATCAAATGAGATTTGTGCGGCGCATATTTATCTGGTGCTTTTTGTACCAATATTTATGTGTTTAAATAAATAAATAATAAATAGATTATAGCATCCTACTTGTTTACTCCTAAACGCTTTTATTTTTGTTCCAGACGCTTATCTTCAGCATGTTAAATACAGTATATGATGCAAGTTTCACTCTTTTCGAGTAGACGTCTTCTACGAAATTTTCATCACTCATGATATACTCTGCCACCTCGGAGGTGGTGTGCAATCTTACAGCTATTTACCTTTTGAAAAAAACATTGTTGTTTTAGTGAGTTGTTTTTATCTTACTAGTGTTTGACTTGATTTACTAACAATGTAGTGGACAGAACCCACCAGTGGGGACAATCGAATTTATGTGAGCTGAGAATTACAGAACATCTTAATAAAATCTGAGAATCATACAGTAAATACTTAATTTGCAAAATGTCAATCAACTATCTCAAACCTGACTATTCCTTTCTTAAATATCAGTCAATAGTCTAAGATTTCATTGTTTTTGGATTTTCATACCTATTGGTTTCCGTTTCCGTTCTTTCCTTCTCGATATTTTGCTGCCAGGCCTTCTATTCCTCACTCACGACATATACTACTTATGTCGATGTAAGTAACACATTACAACGACAGAAATAATAATAGTTCATAGTAATTAAACTGATTATCAGAATGACTGCTGGTAAAATGTGACTAAAAACATCTTATTTATTGTAATAAGTGAAACAACTCTAAAATATTCTCAGTCCAAAAGTTTCTTATTAATCCAGGAATAGATTAGTATAAAGTCTATCAACCATTATTGTCATGAGAAAGGTAGATGTACTAACTGGCTCCTCCAATCAGATTAGAAACGGCAGTTTCCAAACACCTGAACCAGTAGCCTAAAGTTGAATGATTAAACCACATTAATATAACAATGGCACAACAAAATTAGCTTATCAAAATTGAGCTTCTGTTAAGATTGATATAGCTTCTTCAGTTCATAATAAAACAGAACAAGTACTAGGTTAATTACTGACGAGGTGTAATGAGGGTGAAGAAGCACTGTTGAATTGTCAGTGGGATGCGCTGTGTTTTTTAATTAATTTTAATCTGTTGTTATTGACCTACTGACTTTAGAATGAATAATTTGTTCGAAGTTAAAGTCTTTATTACTGAAACAAAACGAAAAAAACTTTTTTATTTACATGTGATCATCAGATCAGCAATCCCAGTGATAATTAGATCATCAAACACAAATGAAAATTATCTAGTAATAAACACAGTTGATTCTGATTTGTTTCGTTTTTTGAGATTTTTCCCTTTGAAATCCGCTTATGGGTGATAAATAGATTGAATGTATTCTGTTATTTGGAAATGTAAGCGAGATAATTGCACTCTGATAATTCATTATATTTTAAAATGATTGCTACTTTATTTATATTTACACTAAAGTAAATTTTTCAAGACTAGTTTCATTCACATGAATTACAGTTTTATACGGTTCCCAACATGAAGGATCAGGCGTTGGTACTCGATATTTAGTTGATGGACCAGCTCTGGGGTTATTTGTATGCTCATCCTGCCCTTCTCTTATATCGACCACTGTAGTACAAGTGGTTGTACTTGTGGCTAAACTATCTGTTGTTGATACTGAAGGAAGTCCCCGGGAACACAGGGTCGGGGTCCCATTGTGCCTCATTTCTAGAACAGGAGTGTTTCCGGTAATAGTCGTTAGAGTTATTGCAGATGGTGGGTATGCTTGTTCGATTGGAGAATTTTTATTTGCAGCAGATTGACTTACTTCTGTAATATGTAGTGATGGTGCTAGATTATCTGTATTAGGGCTTTGAAACGCCGAGTCACGGGATAGAGATTCTTCACCTGGATGAAAGTTTCGATCCGACCATTCTAATCCTGTAGGCGCATACCACCCAAGCTGAGATTCCTCAGCACTTTTAACATTTCTCGATCGTCTGTTTGATTGTGAACCTTGATAGTCCAATCCCACCTCACTTGAGGTATGTTCAACTATAGACCGATCTAGTGTTATGTTTGAACTACCTCCACGACCACTCCCCCACTCTGAACCTGAACTGGGACCCCTTCCAGAGTCCTTGTCTTCTGTTTCCGAGCCTATTGATCCACCGGAACCGAAACCTGGGGGTGGGGGTGGCAGGAAGTTTTGTGATGTATCTGGTGTAAAGTTTTGTAATGAATACATGGGATTTCTCTTATCAAGATGCGTAGTAAACATTACAGTCACTTGGTTAGAACATGTTGGATTAGAGTGAGAACTTCTGTTTGTCAACTCTTTATTTGATGCTTGTTTTGTTAGTCTAAAATCATCATTTGTCTGCATTACTACATGTTTCTGTATAGGAGTGTTATTCGTTTGGGAATCATTCGATGATATGAAGTTGTTTGAATTTCTATCCCACGTTGATTTTGCTTTCTGACTTGCACACCTCAGACTAGTAATCTCACAGTTCGATAAAACTCTACAGGTTTGGCGAGGAATGTATCCTGGTGTTCCTGTAGCTACTAGGTGATCAACACACCATCTACGTACATATAACCAAAAGTTATTCTCTGTCAATGGGAACATTACTTTCTGCTGAGCATGTGTAGATTTCATTCTTCCATTCACAGAATTAGTAATTGTTGGACTTGATAAACTTTGATTCAAAACACAAACATACTCCCCCTGACGAACACCTAGTAGTTTGTATCTCTCTTTCCACTCTGCTGAGGGTCGAAAATCAATATTCACAACTGCTAGTAGTTCGTTATTGGTTAGAGAAGAATTTTGTACAAAGCTGTTGGTAGGCAATGTAAAAGGATGTAAAGTAAAACTCGTCGTGTTTGGACAATTAGATTGGATAGTGGAGTTTAACCTTCGGGATACTATACATGTTTGAGGATAAATAATAGGTGAATCTACATGAAATTGATTGCAAATCCTTACAGGAGAAGAAAGCTTTAATTTTGCCAGTCCCATATCTGGTTTCCAACGCAAGTCAGATTTTTGGTAAGATGATGCTCTTTTCGGACTTGTAAGGGATTCATTTACATTCTTTAGGCATTTTTCTGATTTTCCCTTGGAAGTGGTTGTTTGACATGTCTTGCTAGTCTTACTTCTGCTGGTCAAAGCAGAAATCGTTTTTTCGTCCCACCCATATGCTTCCAAATCTTCTTCTTCACTACTTGTACTACTGCTACTCAGACCTTGTGATTTATATTGACGACGCTTTTCATTAACAACCTTACGATTTGAACATCGCTCACTTTCCCTATCTTTTTTACCTTTGTGAGGTTTTTCATTAATTTTCTGTGTGGAATGTGTTCCATTACTTGGTAATATGCGTAAATCTAAACTGGAGCTACTATCTGAAGTACTACTACTTAAACGATGACTTAATCTTTCTTGACTAGTTGTTGTTTCATCACTGCTAGTACAACTACTTAACGAAGGATAACTCAAACGAGATGGATTTGTCTCATCACTACTATCATCACATTCATGAATATCATTTAAACTTCCATGACGATTCTTATAACTGATTCGAATTCTTTCATTAGATAATTCATAACTCTGTGAATTTGATGAAGAGGGTGTAGAATTTTTATTAACTTGATTATTTTCATCATTTTTTATTTGTTCACTTAATGGTGGTGAAGGACTTGGTGATGCTTGCCATATTTGTGTTGGTAATGTTGATTCAAAAGTTACTGATACACCTAATCCACGACGTATATAAACATCAGATGATGATTTGAAACTAGCACTTGATTTTCTTTTATCAAGGGAGTTATTTTTGATAGTCTTACTTTTCAATGTATGTTTGTGTAAATTATCATTTTGTTCATCTGTGAAATTTTTCTCATCTGATTTTAACATTAATTCATTTTCTATGGTTGATTCAATTTTTGTTTTGGGATTGAATTTCGTTTTAGATTTTTTAGCAAACACTGAACGCATTTCTACTTGATTTCTTTTTTGTTTTTTAATTTTAATGGAAATGTTGAAGTGATTGTTGTTGTTGTTGTTTTGTTCTTTTTTCTACATCTTAGCCAGGTCATATATCTGAAAAGTTTATGAAAAAATAAAGTGAAATTAAAATGTTATTCATAGATTAGAAAATCACAATACAAACTCAGTCATTATTATAACAATTTGGAAATCAATCTTATCTTGCGAACTAGTAATATGTTTGTTGCTTTAGTCAAGTATTTAGAATGTAACTGAACACTAAACATTTACGATATTACCATCAGTATAATACCTTCAAATCATTGAGCTATAATCCGATAGCATACGTTCTAAACGTTAGTCGACCTGTTGAGTAACGCTGTACTCATTGATGGGTTACTGTTTCACTTCAGATTTGGTTGATTCTATAGGTAGAGAGATCTAATTCAAACGTATATTCACTTATTAATGAACACATGGTTAACAATTTCTGTTAGTTTTGTAAGAGGAGTTTCATGACAGATTGTGAACTTACAAACCGTTTCATTTATAGTCATTAAAAATCTACGTTCCTTGTAACCATTATTCATTAAGGTAGCAAATTGAATTACATGTTTCACTCGTAAAGCATTCAAATAAGACATCCTAGTGTTTAGCGCAATAATTCACAAATGTCTATATAGTGTCGTATTATTTATCTCGAACATTCATGGCTATTATAAGGAACCGAGAAGTGGTTACCAGGTTGGAATATTGGTATTGACTGTTCATCACTGTTACTGATGAAAATAAATGTTTCGAATATCAGTTTTGTTCTTAACATTACCTTTGTGAGAAATCACTTGTTTTTCTTTTGATCTTACAGATTTCAGTAAGTGTGAAATATTAGATGAAAAGAGTAGGGGTTTTTAAAAATTATTTCTACTGATAATTCATATCATCATTTAGTGGGAATTTCGCCAAAAAATTCTTACTTCTGTTTCTTCTCGATGCAATACAATGTCCTGAGAATTATTATTTGAGGGCAGTACTTTGCATGTGATTAAGAAACTTTATCTCGGTGATAGGAATCATAACGTTACCACTATATTTAGACTTTCAGTGTCCGTCTACTAACCAAGAGACGAGTATACTGCATAGCATTACTGCATTACTCTATAAGTGCAAAACTTGGCTTGTGGAAACAAATACAAAAGTATGGTAAGCAGAGATGGATAGTGGCTAGCAGTGGAATCCAGGACGCACGTATCGTCCCATTTAGGACTCATCAGCTGGATGTACCTGCATCTCAGAGTTGATGTTCACTCTGGGACTCGAACCCAGTACCCTCGCTTCAAACGCCATCGCGTTATCCACTCGGCCACTGAGTCCTGATAGCCACTTGCTTGTGCGATGGGGTGAAGTTTGAGCTCACTCAGTATTGTTTGTTTGGATCTTCTCATCGATGTGTTTAGGACTGACCAGTTGCAGTCCTAAACACATCGATGGGAAGATCCAAACAAACAATACTGAGTTCAAATACAAAAGTAGATTATGAATACTGTAGTCATGAGTGTATTCGAAGCATTGCTGGCATATTGTGGAGTCGCCATTTAACCAATACTGAGCTTGAGTACTGTGTAAAAGATAAAAATACAAATCTGTTGGTGAAGCCATACACCCTAATAGATTATTTGGTTAAAACATGTGTTATGCATGCCTAGCTATCCTATATTCAGACTTATAATGTTGACTACAATATGAATAGGTTGAAAAAAGTTTAATGATGTGCAAATCCAGCCATAAAATTGGTATACGTAGTCATCGACTGTTAGTCTGGGACTTGTTAGAATCTGCAAGGTCCCTCTTTGGGGTCTACTCACTGCTTGCGGCTCAAAACATTGTAAATAAACTGTCCTCTGGCAAACCAGATAAATCATGGCACGGGCTTGGATTCTACATCGTACACAGACAACTAGTAGTAGTACATCTATCCCTTCACTGTCAAGTATTACTTAATGACTCGATTTCATGGCTTTAGAAAATAAAATTTTAGGTCTTGTTTTCCATATTTATATTTTGAAAACAACCAAGCGGTAAACTGCAATTTACTACTGAGTTTTTGTGATCCCTTTAATCTGAAACGACATTGAATATTTATTACTAATTTAGTTACCTACTTATTAGTAGTGTACTGCAGACGTAATAATTTCACAACTAAATTTCATGAAGAGGAAAGTAACAAGCAAGTTATTTAAAGAGCTATGCATTACAGTTAAATAAAAACTTTAATAATAGCCACTGAAGCCGAAAGTTAGACGTTCTTGTTGGGTTGTTATTAATAAAGGATTAAGTTTTACTTACTCCTAGTCAATAATTAATATTCATGCTGGGTGAAATTGATATCGTAATGTTGAAATTTCCTACAGAAATCAAATTTTGTTTAGGGAAATATGAAGTGGGTCTGTAAAGATTTTATCACCCAAGCCAGTGTTTCCATTATAACTACTGAATGATCACAACCGGTATTTCAGTTCACAAGGGCTTAGTAAGCTAAATCTTCATTTGGTCCTAGTTATTATGTGGACACTCTCGAGGTCTATCTAGCGTCGCTCAAAGGTCGTCCATAAATAAAAGTCTCACCAAATAATCTTTATTTTATACTGTTCACTTATTTAATAAATTATTTACCTGTGTACGTTAAAAGATTTCTGGGTATTATGTATTATTATCCTCTAAATTTCATTAGTATTTTAGGTTTATAAATATAAAAATTTAATATAGTTTATAAAGGGTTCAATTTGAAGTGATATGAACTCGTCGGTAACAACAATGAAAAGTTAAACACTTCGTGAAACAAATAATCCTAGTTACTTTTTTAGACTGCACAATTCGAACATCATGAATATAAGTTTTGAAAGTATCGACAAAACTGAGGTTGACACAATGAAGTTATTATTATTATTATTGTGAATTTGTATCAATGACATGGTTGGACGTGATAGTTTCAAACAAATTGAAAATTGAGTAGAAAATTATATATATATATAATATATCAATGAGCAGAAAATTGTATATCTGACGTCTCGTGGCTTAATGTAAGCTACTTCTTCAGAGTACTATTCATACTATTTAAACTTGGGTTAATTTTATTTTGGTTATTTATTTACTCTGAGAAAGGGGTATACATTAAGTCATGAAAAGTCAGAGATGCAATTTTCTACTCATTAGAATATAACAGAAAATATATTTATTATTATTATTATTATGAATAATGCTCCTTTTCATGTCCTTTTTCATTTCTGTCACTATAGAATTACCATGTTTTATTATAGGCGAGGAAATAAATAGTAGTTGAAAGCGTGAGTCAATTGAAGCTAGACCACCAAGGAAAACCCGGAATCACTAGATGACCGTTTCGTCCCATTGCGGGATTCCTCAGCAGTGAGCAGCCACGACCTCATCTCGCGAGATCCGAACCCAGGACCCACCAGTCTCACGCCAGAGCACTTAACCAAGAGAAAACTGAGCCGCCATCCGATGGTGTTCATGTCTAACTCCTACCAATTCACGAAGTTGTGACCAGTGGAGTTCAAACCACTACTGTTGTGAGATATCAACTCACTGAAGATAATTGGTGAACGGTTGCTCAATTTCGTGGATTAGTTGAAGTTAGACATAAACACCGTTGGATACCGGTTCAGTGGTCTATCGGTTAAGTGCTCTGGCGTGAGACTGGTAGATCCTGGGTTCGAATCTCGCGAGGCGAGGTAGTCGATGCGCACTTCTGAGGAATATCACAATGGGACGAAACGACCGTCCAGTGCTTCTTGGTTTTCCTTGATGGTCTAGCTTCGATTGACTCACGCTTTCAACTATGAAAATACTAAATCTCCACGAAACGTCTTCTGATAAAAAATAAATAATCTACAAATGGTGAAAACCTATTTGATCCACTGTAACATTTATTTCATTTATCCTTTTATACAAGAAAAACATCAAATTAAAAAGTAGAAAATCTATGTAAGTTTCTCTTCTCTTTATTATTTAAAAGAAGAAAAATGAACTAAACTTTTCATAAGAAAAGAAAATGTTTTCGATTATTTCTTTGCTTTGTTTGCTTGTTGCTTTTTCTTAAATTGTCAGCTGTTATTTTATTTGTTAATGTTGATAAGTTTATGTTTGTTTTTTTAATAATCCAAATGATGAAATGAATAAATAAACAACAACAACAAAAATATTGGCTTCTAACTAAATTGGCATGTAGTAGATAAAAGTTCATTTATAATGTCAATATTTGACAAGTCCTTTTTTGTTTGGTTTTCAATTGATTTACATTTAAAACAAGAATAAATGTCAAATGACTACATGAATGAATTTATTTTGAGTTGATCTCATGTTTTACCTATTTTATGTACTTTAGATTAGATACATATAAAGATATAATAAACTGTCAGCTACTTTGAAAAAATGACAACAATTGTTTATATGTCATTCAGATGACAGATTTAAAAAATATTCTATGTATAAAGAAGAGAGAGAGGGAGAGGGGGAAAGGTCATAGTTGCTTGACAAGTAATCAAATGTTAATGTTACTAGTGTATATGAAGAGTTACTTATGTGATTTCAATTGTTATAGAATAGCAACTATGATTCCTTGATATCTGAAAGTTTCAGTTTTAGGTTTTACACAAACCTGTGATCTTATGTACCTACGATAACCATGTTTCATTATTTGTGAATTTAAAAAAAAAAACATTTTGTTCATCCAACAAAATACTGTATTGTTACAACTACCGTCAATCTATATAGTATTAGCTCAGTTCCAAAGATTTAGAAGTATCTGGAATAATTTGTACAATCTTCTGTGTTCTGTTGATCCCTAAACTAAACCAAACATTTTTAAAAATCTATTACATATTAAGAAAAAGAGAATTCAGCGAAGAAATTTTTCTTTTCGACGAAATCATTTACTTAAGCTGTACATTCGTATATATAGTGATATGGAAAATATATGTCTATAGGAGGCTAGAAATTATTGCATTATAAATGGATTCGACAATAAATAACAAATGAGGTGGCGTACTAATCCCTTACCCCTTGGTTAGTACACCACCTCATTTGCTATTTATTGT